TTCCATTTTGCTGATTTTTCTTTTTCCTTATGTTTTCTTAGAAACTCAAACCAGTCCTTGTGGTTTTAAACGCATGTTCATCCAACAGGCACCATAAGATCTGTGAAGATTTTCCTTTACTGGAAAAAAGTGTAACTTATAATATGAACTGGCGGAAAGAAGGTGGAAGGTAGCAAACACTCAGGCTAGAGAGACAATTTTCAGATTACCTGAGTAATGAAACCCAAAATAACTTTAAAGAAATATGTTGGATTTCAGTCATTTGAAGTCTTTAAATCAAGAGTGAACCTTTTGTTCAAATGCATGGTGTAACTTAAAGCTAGCAGTGGTCATTTAAGCTTTGAATTTTCACTATGAGCTACATAAGACACCTGCTTACTTAGCTTGAGGCAAATGGTTTGGCTAAGTGGGGAGCCTTGAATTTGAACAGTGCTCTGCTTTTACAGTTTCTCTGGGCTTAGCTCTTAGGTTAGAGTGAGCTAGCTGCTGTGTTTTTCTGACTGGCAGTTCACTGGCTGCTATACCCACACCAGTTTCTCTTCAGAAGAGGATGTTGTGGATGGGTCTCTTTTCTTGTGGACCAAGGTGACAGGATGCTCCTGACTAGTGACCCTGGTGTGCATTGGTTGTCCTCTCTTCTCACCATCTCCAATGTGCTTTGAGACTTTGCAAGTGCTCCACACAGACCTGAGATGGTTTTCCAGTTATCTAAGTGCATTCTTTCCCAGAGAAAATCTTGTGACTGGGATAATTTGCTCCAGAACAGGTTTTCTGAGGTCTGCAAATTTGTAACTTGAAAAATGGTTACAAAAATTGTCTAGGAGAATGTTTTACAATGAAGCCTTCCTCTCCACTAATAAAAAAATTCAGGCTGCTTAGTTTTGTGACTAAAAAGTTAAATTATGTTTTTCGTCATTGTTGGTGGTGGTCAGAGTATAATGTTGCTATAGTTGGTTTAACAGTTTTCGTCAAGAGTAGTCCACCAATTCCACTCAAAGCTATAGTGGCAAGTATAAAAAGCACTAAAAACCATGTAAAGTTTCCTACAACAAATTTTGTACAAAAAAAAAAGTAAATTAGTATCAAAAAAGGCCTTATTTCGAAAGGCAATCATGAACACTTCAAAGTATATATAATTTAATTTCTCCACTCTCATTTTATCTGCTTTCTCTCTCTGAACTGGAAAACTGCTGTCATAACTGTATTTCCTGTAGGAGCTATTAGTCAGTAGCATTACATCTGCTTAAACCTGATCACTTTTCTCTTCTGTATGTTACTGATACTCTATTATCATGTAATATTGCTCATCCATCACTGGTTACCCTGTTTTCTGAGCTTATTGTAGAATAGAGGAGAGATGAAGCGTCCTCTAAAAAAAAGTTCAGTGATTCTAAAACATTTCAATAACTCTCTCTCTCTCATTACTCATGTATGTTACAGAGGGCAACCTTCTCGTGGTGTATTTCAAGGTTGTAATGTGAAATGTTTCTCTGTTTTTAATTCCTAAGCAAAAGCACTTTAACCATCAGTTTGAGTGTAACCATCTCAATTCCTCTTTATTTAAATGGCAGATTCAATAAAAATTCCATCTGGCTTCCAGAGGAAGCTTGCACAAGTCCTTGAAAATTGATTTTTTTTTTTTTTTTCCCCAGCACACAAGGAACTGTGGCCAGGATTAGAACCTCTTCCTCCTGCAGCATATTTGCCAGATGGCAAGTTTATTGAATCTGGTTTTAACTTACTAGGGCTTAAAGGAATGAAGGCAGCTCAGAGAAGTGGGTGCTACATTTCTACTTCAAAGGTCTCCTTCAAAATCAGCCTCCAGAGATTTATATGCAGAGCGTGGTTGTGACCTGGGCACTCTGTTGTGTACCTCTCATCTCTTTCAGTGCTTGAAATGGAGTTAGAGAGGGACACAAACCACTTCACAAAATCCCAATAATTTCAAGATCAGCAGCATTGGGTGAATCTTGTTACATGGCTAAATCAAATTTTTATTTTATATTTTTAAAAATTTTACTGTCTAAGTTTCTACAGTGTTGTAGAGTCTCTTTGCTTTAAATACTTGTTTTCTAAGTAAAACATGAAAGTACATTGTATCCACTGGTGTCACTTAAAACTATCCTTAAGTGTTGTCCTTTATATAGAAGTATGCTCTGTGCTAAAAAGTGACACTTTTGATGGACAGAATTTAGCTTCATCAGCTTTTAGGTTTGAATTGGGGAGAAAAAAGATCATGCTTCTATTTAAATTTCTTACAGTGGATTTTCCTAATTTCTTAAAGTGGCTTTTATATTTGTGAAAAACATTTCTGGTTATTTAGTGATGCAAAGTCTAAATTGTTTTATGAAGGAATCTCTCCTCTCTTTTCAAAATACAAAGCATTGTTTTGCAATTCTGTTACCTACAGAGAAATCAAATTTTTATATTACAGGATTTTTTTCCCCTTTTTTCCTGAGAATTGGAGAAGACTGCTGCTGTGAACAGGTACCAAGGAATTTCAGAGAGTTTGTGGCATAAATACAAACTTCTTATTTCAGATGCAGCGCAGTGGTGTTGCTGACCTCTGCTGAGGTGTAGTTGTATGCAAAGTTTCAGACATTTAAGTGGCAATGTCTGTCATAATTATTCATGTGCTTTGTTAAACATGACTGTGCACATACTAGCATGTAGTGTGGACCCAGATTTGTAGAGCAAAGCATATAAAGATTAACGCACTTGTTTAAGACAAGGAAATATACAATTACAATTCAAAATATCCTGTTTTTTCCTTTTTTTTTCTTTTGTTTTTTTTTTTTTTTTTTCCCAATTTCACACTTTACACATCCATACTGTTTATATATACTGTACTTTCTATATGCTTCTTTCACTGGAGGTGATTTTATGTCTGTGCTACGGTGCTCCTTCTTGCACTGCGTGATGTGTTTGTGATGCTGAGCACATAACATCACTCAGATTAGAAATGTTCACCCCAGTCTTAGAAATAAGGAAGTAAGTAAATATTCCCGTGTTCTGTAGTGTATTGTATAAGACTCACTTGTATGCATCAGTGGGTTAAAAGTAATTTTTTAGTCTTGCGCAGTGTATTTTCAGTGCTGAATTTTTCTCATGAGGAAGTTTGCATAATTCTAGAATTGCGATTTTATAGAAAATGCCTCGCAGAAATCTGTTTGCTTGAACTGGGACCGGACTTGCTACTTGGATATCACCTTACCCTCTTGTTAATGAGCCAGTTTGTTAGGATGTCTAGCAGTGCATATTCACCAGGTTTTCCTGCACTTCACAAAAGACAGACAGAGGGACTGCAAAAATATTTGAAATTTATTACGAATGTTCAGGAATCTAACTTACAAAAAAGATGGTGATAGTGCCAGAATCAGAAGTAATAGCTTTCTTCCAAACAGGGGATGTCAGGAGTTAATGCTTTTCTAAAACTCTCAAGAAGATTATTGTTGACTTCCCTTTGAATGAATTACTTTGGAGCGAATTCACCTACTGTATTACTTTACCACTTTATTCATATATTGAAAAGTATATGTAAAAAAAATAATGGGCCTCTGTAAAGCCTATAGATGTAATTGCATCCAGGGATACTGATGATGTCATGAATCATTGGAAGGTACAGTGGTTTCTGTGGTATTTCCAAATGAAATTAGAGGTCTCTTGTTTATAGTTTGTTTGCGGTCCTCTCCATTCAGTAGAACAGCGTATGGATCCAATAGTAATAAAAAATAAATAGGTGTTATAGCTTGATGCTATTTTGAAGATGTTTTGGCATTTTATCCCTGATTTTACTGCTGTATTACCATCATTTCCAGTTGTATCTGGCTTGATTTCAGCTAAGATAGTCTTGTATTAGTAACATATGGAAATTGTTATTATTTTCATTTGTTCAGCAGATGTGTGAGCCTTTTATGTGCCCTACTCCTTATCAAATCAGATTAAATGATGCAAAATTCTGCAATATGCAAATATTCTTTTGTACGGGAGCAAGTACTGACAGTCAATACAGGTGAAGTACAAGAGTGACAGTTCCAGTATTTCAGTGAGCATTAGTGCAGTGAGCATCCTGTTGTACCTTCCTTGCTTACCAAGCCTTGCACTGTGATCTTATTTGTGAGCAGCAGAATTGGAAGGGAAGTGTTGGAAAGGGGTAGAGGGGCCATTGCAAACTGACCTGGTAAGGTGGGATCAGCTAAAGAAACAGGCATCAAGGGGTAGTTGAGCCCTACTAAACGTAAACGTCTGCAATGTCAGAGAGGGAAGAAAGTCAAAGAATAATGGGCCAGTCACAGCTGCTGTATTAGAAGTAAATGTACGTTTCTCTCCCCACTTCAGGCAACTCGGTTGTCAGCCTTCCCATCTGTCATATTTAAAATACTTCTAAGACTTTCATGTCAATTTTATTTAAACAGCTCCCGTTTTCTGTATCATAAGTGTCATGCTGGCCTGTTTAGAAAGGGAGTGAACCATGAAAGGACTCCGATGTCAGAGGTTTTATGTAATCCAAGGAAAAGCACGAGTTAGTGGTACATTTCTGTGTTTTCTCTTAACAGAGAGTGTGCTTAGGCTTTTAAAGTGTGTGATTTCATCAAACGTTTTTCCTTTCTTCGAATGTCGTCTGTGTGATAATGGAATTACAGCTGAGAGCTCCAGATACAAACTTAAGTAAAATTTGACAAGTAGAGCTTCATTAAGTGTTCTGCTTAAACTGGGCCATGTTTACAGCAAAGCAGTTTTGCTTTCAAAAAGATGATTTTGTAACTTGAACATAAGCTATAGGCCAAATTTTTGGTGGCTATGTTCCTGGCTGGAGTGCAGTAAAACTATATTTATTTACACCAGATGAGGATCTGCCTTTTTCCACATATTTTTAAATGCTTCTTTAATCCTTGGAGAATTAAGCCTTTGGCTCTTTGGAAGTGCATCTCTTAAGAAAATGCCAGTGAAAAAATCTTTTAACTGGGACCACCTCTCCTCTTGTGTGCCTTCCTTTGCAGCTGCCTTTGGTCTTTACTTTCCCAGAAAAGAGTATTCAGAGAATGTCTACATTGATCAGCCAGCAGGTACGCCTCTCCTGCGCATCCATGCCTTGAGGGATTCACATGGGGAAATGGCCCACTTTCATCTGTGCCAGAATCTCATTATTTCTCGAGCAAGATCCCATGAAAATCATTGGTTTCAAATCAGAGAAAAAACAGGACTTCTCTACCTCAGCAAAAGCCTGGATAGAGAAGATTTTAACATGTTGTGTAAGTATGAGAAGACTTGCTTTTATAGTTGAAGTATCTGTTGTTAAAGCAAAGTAAATTCAGAACATGAGATTTATCCATCAGCATATGAGCATCAAATTTGTAAGAAACATATCTGCCCTTTTAAAATGAGGAACCAGTCCCAACAAAACCCATAGCGAGTGCAGGGAACTATATGCTAAAGCAAACGCTGACCTGGGACAGATCTAATTGCTCACAGTGTGGACTCCGGTACGGTGGGAAAGTTGCACTACTTGAAATACTTTTTTTCTGCATTTCACAGCTGTATAAATCACAGCTTTACATGTAATACCAAACAGCTCTTGAAAGAAGTGGTTAAGTGCGCCCCTTTACCTCTCTTGAGATTTGACTTTGTTAGTGAAGCTTACTATTGAACTACAGAAATGAATTATTTCAGTTTTGTTCCCTTTCTTTTATGCTCTAGCAGTAAATTGGGTTTGGTGATTTTGATCTATGAGGAAATTAGGTATCATTAGATGGTGGAGGAGGAAATGGGTGAGGAGTTAATGGCACACCGCTGTGATCAGCTGCAGAAATTCCTCTGTTGGAGAGAGTCTGTAGTAACTGTCTTGAGTTTGTAAGAGCCATATATTAACACTACCCTTTCACTTAGGTGCCTTGATGTTGAAATGTTCAAATTCAGACACTTCATGTTTTATTTTTCAAGCGCTGAGTGCTTGGTATCTCACCCATTTTCACTGAATTTTTGGTACTGAGTGTTCATGAGTATCAGACAGCCATTTGTGACTGAACAAAGGAAGAACAGCTATCCAGAACTTGAGCCTTGTTTTGTTCATATGGATCAAAATGACCTAGAGCATCTTTTCAAGTGAATTAGATCTGTTACAGATATGCTATCATTCTGTCTGTAGTCAAACCAAGGTAATCAAAATAATTAAGGCTTGAGGGTGTATTAATAGATGCTATAGGTTGATTTTAACTTTTATGTTATCTTTTGACCAGCTCTTTATCTTTTAAAATGATGAAGTAATTTGTCCTCTAAACATAAACAATTTGGCCCATATTCTCAACTGGTATAAACTATCAGAACACTGTGACTTAAATGATTGTAGTTGTGGGTCTGTCCTGAATATCTGTTGCCATTTCATGCACTCTTTTCCCTGCTGACACCCCACCCCGTTCTAGTCTCTCCAAAAAACAGTCCTATCAAAACACTGGTTACTAATAGTGACCTGGTTTATGTCAGTGTTTTACAGACAGAATACTGATATTGTTCTGTGAGGTTCCACAAAGTAAAATTGTTGCTAACACCTATAGTTTTTTGTCTTACTGGGGTTATTAAGATATAAGGTCTTCCCACCAGCAGATGATGTATTGAAGAATTGGTTTATTACATAATAGGCCAATATGGTTGTTTGTGGAATAATGGACTAGAGTAAAAAATGAGTAATAGAAATGTTAGTTTTTCTTCTGTAAAATATTCCTTCTGGTGTTTTTTTTTTTTTTTTTTTACTGAAGCTGTAGGAAACTGGATGCCATTATCAAAGGTGATGCTGTATGTATTCCTTTCATCCCACCCTTTCCAAGAGAAGGAATGTGACTCTGCTACGCGCACCACAGTTTTCCTCTCCTTGATCAATGCTACTGCACCAGCTTGTAGTTCCCTGACAGCAAGGCAGCTTTGCTTCACAGAAATGGATCTCTCCTTTCACATCAAGGAAAACAAACCACCTGGCACATTTCATCAGCTCCAGTTACCCTCTGTTCATCATCTGTGTCAGAATATCAGCATTTCCTACCAAATTCTGGCAGGTAAAACTGGAACTGAGCCACTCGTGTACCATCAAGAGATGTAAACAGCTTCACTGTTAAGATCTCTGTAGTAGTAGATCCTCTAGAGCAATTCTATAAAGGAAATTTCATTGCAAACATGAACTGAGCCTCAAGATTTTACCATTGAGATATACAGAGGGGAAGGGAAGGAGGACTATCCCCTTTCCTAAGGAAACATTTGGTTCTAGAAGTTTGCACCTGCTAAGAGCAGACTGGGAATATCCTGAGCTTTAAATTGAGCTGTTTTTAGACTGTGGAATATTCTCAACTATTCCATGTTTTCTACCTGCCCTGATATAACCCCATAACTTCCTTCTGTTTCACTTCTGAGCCTGCCTTTTATCATGCAGTCATGATGTCCAAATGGATTTACCGGATTGCAAAAGGGTATTAAAGAAGAAAACTATTAGAGCCCTACAATGCGAAGTGATTGTCCCTATTTATACTGTGGCTTTGTTTTTCAGCTGAAGGTATGCCCTTTCGGTACAATGAGAACACCACTGGTGTGAGTGTGACACAGCGCCTAGATCGAGAGGAGAGAGAGAGATATGAGCTGATTGCCAAATGTACCATGAGAGAGGGCTTCAGGGAAATGCAAGTTGAGGTGCCCTTCCTGGTGAATGTGTTAGATGAAGATGACTCTCCCCCCTTCCTTCCCAATGGCACGGATACTGCAGATGCTGTCGTGGAGTTCAACAGGAAAGAGGTAACGTTGTCCTTTATCTAGTCCCTACAGTAGGAGTTCAGTGGTAGGAGACATGATTACTGGGACACACCGTGCTCTGGGTAATGGATCTCAGCAAAGAGCACATCACCGCACCATACTCTACAAACATGATTGTAACATGCTGAGTTTGTAGGATTCCTATCTCCCAAGTTATATCTTATTCAGACTCTAAGGAAGGAAGAGTTTGGGTTAGGAATTAAACAGTATAAAGAAATGTGAGCGGTTCCTGATGTCAGGATGGGCCATTGCTGAGACAGTGGGCCAGATTGCTCTATCTCCCCATACTGACCTCTGCTCTGTATTTGTTACAGAGTTGCTTCCCCCAGGTGACTAAAACTGAGTGTTGTTAGAGCAGGTATGTGTGTGTATCCTTCCCATATATGCAAATTTATATAAGAGATCAGAACTAAATTCAGAACATTTATTAGGATGTTGTACCAGTGTCAGAAAGTTAGAAGAAGCAGTTGCCTTCTGCAGACAAACATTGTACCTGCAAAGGTGTTGAAGTTTCCAATGTCAGGCTGTCAAGGGTGAGCTCTGGGATCTTGCTTTAATGTTGCCCTCTCACTTTCACTTACCGCTCCAAGGTGATCTTTCAAGAGGTCTGAAGCCCTGGGTGTCTTTGTCTGTGCCCCCTGCACACATATACCCCTTGCTTCAGTAGAGAAGTACACGGGTGGGCCCTTTGGCTCTTCCACTGGAGCAAGAACCTTTTATAAATCAGTGGTATAGAGAAGGCACTTCTTTGGGGGCCTGAATGATACATTTTTCGTGAGAGGACTTCTGTTTCGTTACAACAACATCTGGTTTTGTAGTCAGATTTCCCTTCGAAGTACATTTTGCTCGTATTTGTCTGGAAGGGAAAAGAATGATTTTGGGATTTTGCTGCCACCTCCCGACTAGAACAAGTGTTGACAAGACTCCTATGAACCCATCACATTTGCTGGACATAAAGTAATGCCTTTTTATTTTTGAAAATTTTGAGATTTGGGAGTTTCATTTAGCTCTGGATGATAGAAGGTGAACGTCTCATAAAACTGTTTTATAAAGTAAAATATTATCTTCGAAATTACAGGCCTGCAAAGTGCTCAGAATGTAGTGAATTTCACTGGCATTTTATAGTAGAAGAAAAAAGCATTTGGAAACTTTAATCTTTTCTATAAACTAAACAAACTTGAAACAAAAGAATTTCTAATAAAAACCTTAAAGGCCTTGTGGCTTCAGTGTCCAGGTAGCAAAAAGCAATCTAGTAGACTAAGCAGAAGACAGATAACCCAGGCCACTTCTGTCATCTGGGTAATGAGTTTGCCCCTTATGAATGTATTTCATATCTTTTAAGTGTGAATATTACTTTCCTGCCTTTTTTTTTGGTAGTATTTTAGAAAAAAAGTGATTTTAAAAATGACAAAAATCAGGATCTGTGCATGTGTACTCATTTCCTACCTCAAAAGTTTAGCACTGTATTTAGACATAGACTCAAGTGATGATATGACAAGTCCTTTTCCACTGCCATTGTCTTTTGAGCTTCTAACTCAGATCCATATAGGTGTGAAAGAGTGGTAACCTGAAGCTTAAAATTAATTTGAATGAAAGTGAGCTTGAGTGAAAGTTGTAAGGTTTTATTTTCACCAATATTTCAATCCCCCAAACATGTGTCAGAGGAAGAAAGCTTCAGGTTATTTAGCAGTGTCATTTATTATTTTCTTCTAGGGCACTGTTCTTGCAACACTAACTGTATACGATGCAGACACCACACCTATTTATCCCCTTGAAAGCAGCAGAAAGAAATACACAGGAACCATCATTACCGACGATCCCTGGATAAGTGAAACATTTCGGGTAGAGCACATCTTTGATGAAATCCATTTCAGCCCTAATGGCAGCCAAGTGAGAGGAACAAGACATGAGTACAGTAAGGTCCCTTTCTACAAATAAAGGAGAAGTTGCTTTTTAGTAATTGACCAATAAGCTCTTGAATTTTTCCAAGCATTTTGCAGATATTGAGCTAAAGAAAGCTGAGAAATTTCAAGTTAAGCAAACACTGAGTTTTAAATATGTACTGAAAAAATGGAGTTTGTGCATGTCTGGGGTAGGGAGTGTACAGATGATGCTGTGTATACTGATAAGCAAGAGGTTCTGTTTGCAGTGTTCTCCATGTGGTAGGTAGAAGGGAAGAGGACCTCTCCAAACATCTTGAATAGCACAAACTATAACTCCATAGCAGCATGTTTTCGTATTTAACTCACCTCCTGTTTCCAGTTCGGAATAACTTGGAGATGTATAATTTTGATAGGTATAATTTTGTTGGGATTGCAGTATCAAAATATACATTTGCAGATAGTGTGGTTTGGTCATAGACTAATCTTTTCCTTTGCAGAACTGGTACTGAATAAAAGTATTTCAGTCACAGAGCATCGTTCCTTCCAGTTGGATGTCTTGGTGAATGACACGGAATTTCATGGCCCAGAAAGATCGGTGATGCTTCATTTCAATGTCTCCATCCTCCCTGTCAGCATTCAGTTTCCAAACATGACTTACCAGTTCCCAGTAAACAGAAATGCTGAACGCTTTGCACAAGTAAGAACTGTGTTAAACTTTCACTCTCTGTTAGCGACAGAGCTTAGTAGATAGATCACTGGAGTGAGATGCATTAAAGCGTTGGTTTTAGTTGTTTTGAGTAGAATCAGTGAAAAATGTGGTATTGATATGATTGTTACTGGATGCAGTGGATAGCAGGTAGACTGGACATTAGTTCTCATCACATAATAACAGAGGAGGGGTCACACATGGAAGTAGTAATAGAGAGAAATAATGTGTGTTATAGACAGGAGGACTTGGAACCATGAGTGGCTCAGTCATAAATAATTGCAAAAAAAGAAATTTGTCCCAGTGATTGGAGTCCCGGCTCTACATATTCCAGTATGTTAATGGTTTTTCTCTAGATAATGGCTAGTTAGTAATTCATGTAATTCCTAATTTAACCCTCGTTTTAGCTTAATCACCACCCTTGCCATTAATAATGCCTTCCAGAAACACGTTCCAACAGGTTGACGTTAATCAGGTGAAAATTACAATGTAATTCCTATGGAACACGTACATTAATAAGGAACTAGTTCAATTTAATAAATGTTATGAAAGTGAATATTAAAAACATCAGTGATGAGCCATTTTGGGAGAGATGCTGGAATGTATACCTCATAACTAAATAAAGCTATAAAACTGCTGTTGTATTTGTAGCAGAGAGGAGAACTGAGACTAAAATATGATCATCCCAATTGCAGAGAAAACCAATTCATTAGATGAATTCTAAGGAAGAATTCAGTTTTATTAATCTTCAAGCCTCTGGCTAATTGTAAAAAGAAATAAAAAGGGAAGTTAGATATATTACGTGTTCTTATCTTTAATCTGATGAAATGCATTATATCTTGATAGCTCTTCAGAGTACGGAACAGGCCTTACAAGCAATAAAAATGCTACTGCTTCATCAAGGGACATTTTACCCATAGTCTGCACTGGAAATCCTAAATAAGAGAAAGACACCAAGTGTGCTCACATAGTGGGGTCCTTACAAAGCTACTTTTTTATGACATTTTGTGATGCCTCGTGGCTGCAGCTTTTAAATTTGCAGTCTAGAAACTTCAGAGCATATTCTGTGCTTTTTGTGGAGATGACAATATTTTTGGTGTTAAATTTGAGGTTTTTGTAGCACCAGATTGTGAAAACATTATTCTCAGCAGTGTAAAAAAACACTTGCCTGGAGATAGGGTGAAACCAGTGGGTTTCCCCCCTAAAAGAAATAATAGCATAGATGTGTAAGATACTCATGGTCTAGCTCTTAGCATCTAGAAATGGGCCTTGATTTTATGTAAGTCACAGCATGACTGTAACTGTAAAAAGTGTGGAAACTCAACTGTTAGGTATGTATGAATATAGATAAATTACTTGATTTTTTTAATGTGTATGCACATATATATATACACATGTAAACTCATATTTTATATGTAGGTGTATGCATACAATAATATTATGAATGAATGAGTTCCCAATTAAATTTGGTTAGACTGTGTTTCTGTTCATACCCTCGACTGCTTGAACACATTTGTTTGAAGTCTGGGAGTATATAGTTTCTAGTTTCAGAATGAAAAACAAAAAAACCCGACCCACCAGTTAACTTTTAAAGCTGCTGGTTTTGCATGTTGTCAGGACAGTTAAACATCTGAAGGGGAATTTTAGCGTTTTTGGGAACAGTTGTACTTCCCACTAACTGTGCTGTTTCACTGGGTGGCAGTAGTAGCAGGAAAAACTGTTCCTGGCAAGAACAACTCCAAGTCTGTGGGAGATCTTTCTTTGTGCTGCCTAAACACAAATTCACAAAGAGATTTTGTTCTGATTCTCAACCAGCAAAGTGCAAAACTCATCCTGGCTCTGGAGATGATGTTCTCAATCAGTTAAAGTGTCATCCACTTACTTTGGAGTCTGAGTTTGAATTTACAGTGTGCTCGGCTGGGAGCACAAGTCAATGGAAGCAGCTCAGTCCCCAGCACTTCACGTTATTAAAGTCGTCTGCATAATTAGCCCTGATGTGCCAGAGCAGCAAGGAAAAGTACTGGGCCAAATCAATATGAAGGCTGAACTGTCTCTTGCCCTAAGGAAAACACAAGAGCGTGAAGAAATGATTAACTGCTGGGCTGATGCCATTTGTCTGTTTGAGCAGCTAAATGAATTGAATAACAGAAGCATGGCCTGACAGTACAGCTTGCCCAGTGGCATTTAACTTATCAATGGACTTAAAGCTCTGTTGATATTTACTGAGACAAATGATGAATAACATCGGCTGAGATTTTTAGAGAGGTTATATGTCCAAATCTCCCTGGAATTCAGTGAAGAGGAACATTATCATCATCCAGACTTTATTAAACTCTGGAGCTCAAAAGATGGATTTTTCTGTTCCTATTTCTGATAATTGTATTGCTGTGTTAACTTTTGAGAGTCTTGCAAAATGCACCTTTGTAGGTTCCTCCTCTGTATGTTGATGTTAATCCTGATTACCAGGCTATTTTTCACCCTCCTCATGAGAAGGAGGAACTGGCTGCTTCTACCTCCTTCTCCTGGGGCTGTGCTGTGCTGTATCTGAGGGCTGTGCTGACTCCAGAACCTGCAGTCCAGAGCAAAGTGACAAGCTTGGTCTTTCCCTAGTGGAATCAGGCAAAAAGAGAAAGCCTGTCTCTCTTGTAGAGATATCTCGAGGGGGGCATTTTTAGCTTCACCTCAGATTATACAGAGAAAGCCAAACTGGCCTATGTGCTACTCTAAGGATAATCTGTTCTTCGGGGATGCTGAATTTATGGGGTCTTCTCCATCCCTTTTGCAGGAAATTTCTGTTGATCAAAAACGTCCCTGGAAAAAGTAGTTATGACAAAGCAGACAGAAAGGACAGTTTAGTCTATATAAAGGTTAATGTCATGGAACACCATTATATTCTCCTACTGCCTCAAAGAAGTACCATCTAAGCAGTTGCAAAACACTACTAATTGTAGTGCAGCACCAAAGCTAAGATGACGTGGTCCTGGAAGGGACCTGTCTAGACCATGTGTCTAGACGGAGTTTATGAACAGCTGAAGTCTTGTCTTTACTTCTTTTCTTTCTTGCCAGTCCCAGCATGCTGTGGCAAGGAGACTGCGTGGAAGAAATGGCCTAGTTTCTGTTTGCTTTAATAGTTTTTGTATGCTATCCTGCCACCAAAAAACCCAACAAAAATGGTGCCAAATGACCAGTGAGTGGTGTGAATGGGAATAAGTTAGATCAAGTGGGACTATCCTATGACAAAGTATGCTTCTAGGACTTCAAAAGCTGCTTCTCTGACTTTAAATAGTCCCAGGTCCTAGTACAAAAAACTTTTTTTTTTTTTTTATCTTATTCTTTAATAAGAATGCTTAAACCAATACGTACAGATATGCTTTTACCAGCAGTGGTGTTACTTGGAAACACATCTTAACCGTAGCATTTGAAAAGAATCTATCACCAAGTTCCCTTCAATAACACCCCACCCTTCACATTGTGGTTTTCCCTGCAAGGAAAGCCAATGCCTCTGGGCCTGATCTGAATCCCACTATTATAAATGGAAAAACCAAAGTGAGCTTTGGATCAGTTCCTGTAGGAGATGGACAGGAGATGGGGTTTTACATTCCTGTGCTTCTTAAATAAATTGTTTCAGACCGAAGAGTGCTCTAGCATAGATATTCTGGTAGGCAGAAGTTCAAATATGGCAAACCAACATATTTTTATTTTTAGATTAAAACGTTTTAAAAATTGCAAAGGGAAACAATGAAGTTCTTATTCCTTTTAAGGCTTTCAGAGAATTCTCTGGCAAGAAACTTTTTGACTGTAATATTATGAAAATTATGTATTAGCAATTTCTGTCTTATTTGAAAATAGTCTCAGCTTTGCTCACACTGAGCTCCTTGCTTTCTCAAGAAAGACCAAAGTTTTTCTCACTGATAAGCCTGGGCAGAGCAGGGACTGAACTCAGCCTTGCCCAAATCACAGAGTCTTGTTCTTACTGAACACTGCTGACCATCAGCAGCAGGCACCAAATATCACTGAGTGTCTTGGTCAAGGCTTTTTGCATTTCCTCTGCTACCCTGAAGACACTGCTTTACCTCTCGTTTTTACTGAGACTAAGTCACATCTGAGGCATTCACGTACTGCATTGATAGTAAAATACCAAATCTGTAAACTCAAGATAAATGCTGAACTCTGCAAGATGTAATATGCTCAATTTTCTTTCAGATATTTTTGGGAAGGACAGAATAATTTTGATGTATAGTTTTGTTTCTGTTGTCTGTGATTTCTTTGTTGGTGTTTGAGCCTAGATAGGAAAAATCTGCATTGAAAACTGCATGAAATTCCGTGGTGTGAACATCACCTACAAGTTACTATCCCCCAATGGAAGCTGCTATCCTGTCAGCATACTTCAAGGCCGAGAAGACAAATATGGAAGCCTTTATGTGAATGATTCCTCTGTGCTCCACAGACCCGAATGCAAGGAAATACAATACACTGTTCAAGCTACAGACAAGCAGAGCAGGAAACACACCAAAACCCTCCTCACTATTGTATTGGAAGGAACTCGTAAGTGCCTGAGTCAATTAGAGCTGTTTACTTATGTACAAGTGTTACTGGTATTAGATGAGGCATTAGTAGGGTGATCTATAAACTGATGGCATTAATAATGTAAATGAGTCTGAGCTACAAGATACAGATTACAAAGTTTGCATTTTGAGTTCTGATTCAGACCTGCCTGCAGCAGATATTTGTGTGAAGAACTAATGCACAGAAAGGTGGTGCATCCTGCGCAATTCCTAATGTTCATTATGACATTTGATTTAGAAGAATCTTTTTTTGTGTGTCTGTGTGACCTTTATTTTGTATTTCACACATTGCAGTGGAAGAAAAAAAAAGAGTGTGTGTATATATATGAAACCACAAATCTCTGGCCTAAGTATATTTATTCAATCATCTTTCTACCCACTTCTCTCTCCAATTTTTCCTTTTTAAAAAAAAAAAATATTTTGCTTAACATTCATGTTGCATTTTCACTGACTTCATTTCACTGAAAAGTTCATAAGGGCAGAATGTTCTTCTACAAAAGCCACAGCAGAGGAGAATTACACTGGAAACATAATAATTACTCTACAAACCATATCACACTTTATGCAGAATCTTACAATTCTACCTGATAATTGCTTCTGTTCCTTTATACCATATCAGAACTCCTACGCCAAGAGTGAATGGGTAGAAAAACAAGAAACAAAAGCCTGCAGTAAACTTTTCTTTTTGCAAGACCCTTGTGCTGTCTGAGATTTCATTTCTAGCTAGTGCTATTACTGCATTAGTCCAAGTACTAAGTGTTTTCCCTTAATTAAAAGTTTTGTATGAAACTATAAAAAACTATGGTCTCCATTTTTCTGTTATCAGTATGTTAGCACATTTCTATGGTTCTAGTCATTGACAGTGTGCTATCAAGCAGAGATAACCATGCCATCATGATCTTCCTGTTTGTCTTTTATTTCACAGAAGAGAAACACGTGGGCTTTATTTATCATCTAAGTTTACTGATAGTTGGGCCAGTCAGTGTTCAGTCTTTCACTTCTTTCATCATCTTTCTTTCCTTGCTATCTACCCCTAAGAATGGAGTTTTCCTTCTGATTTGGGCTGACTTGCTTGTGTATTTATCTCCCTTGTCCTGAACTGACAGCAAACACTTTTCCCAACAGTTTTAAAAAAGGAAGAGGATTGTCCTGAGTCTTGTGCTGTGAGTAAGCACCATGCTGAATGTGAAGAGTGTGGTGGCCTGGGAGTGCTAACAGGAAGATGCCAGTGGAGACAGGGAAGTGGAAAAGGTACATTTCTGTTGTGTGAAATCAAGCTTCTGTTTAGTTATAATTGTGCATTTGACTTCCATAGATATAAACTGATTTATCCCAGCTGGACAACATGGTATAGTAAACTACACAGAAGCTGGGGCTAAAAAAATTAATCATAATAACCAAATGAAACATGTACTAGGAAGGAAAATGAGATTAAGCTGGAATGGTCATTCTTGATTTTATCCCTGGTGATGTTGAATATGATCCATAAAACACCAGGTGGTGAACTAGGTTTGCAGCAGTGTAACTAGAACGGGTGACTTGGCTTGCAAGATAATCTCTGCGACCATGAATTGAGTTTGGAACACACCAGTGAGCCTCTAAGCAGGTGTGCCCCAGCAGACAGTGAGCACAGCAGCAGTGTCTCTGCCGCCTCTATTTTCTGTGGTCTGTAGCACAGATCTGACAGGTGATGGTACTCTTGACTCTCCCAGAACAATGCTTCTGTGCCAATGCTTTATCTCTTCAAACTGCATGAATATCATAAATTCTCTTTGACTGCTTGTAATTTTCATATTCAAGTATGTGTGAAATTGCATAGAGACATCCTTAGTTGTGAAAGCCACTCTTCAGTCTCAAAATGGTTACATAGCTCTTTTTCAAGTCATACTCACTGTAACTGCGAATTACATGCCCATAGGGCTGTCAGAAGCAGAAAACATAGTGAAAAATATATTTCTTCCAGTTGCTTTTAGCTGTTGTCTTGCCTGTTACTTTAGCAGATGATATTTATATTCATAGATGTTTATTTTAAAAGAGAAGTAACCTGTGCTTTGGTGTGTCAGCATGCACTGAGAAGATGCAATAAACTTTCTTCAAAGCCTCATGGTATTGGTGCAGCTGTCTGTTTCTCTGTTAACAGGGATCACCACAAACTATTCCACATGCACTCCGAGTATCAAGACTTGTCCAGATGGCATCTGTGATGTGATTGAGAGCAAGGATCCAGCTGTGTGCCCCCAAGACTGCACAAGTATGGAAAGGTCTACTCCCTTGATCCCAGATACCTTTATAAGCTCGACATATTTTGCATCTCTGCATTGTCATACCTGTATTTGAATCATACGAGAGTTCTTTTTTAAGCAGTGTTTTAAACAGTGATGGAAAGCTAAGTTTTGCTCAGCAATTCTTATTCTGCTTCCCCTGTTAATTCACAGGTAGTGTTTTTCCACATTTGCTGAAAAGGTATAAGTTTTAGGCAAGTTAATGCCCTATTTCCAAACTTTAGCACAATATGATAGAAACCATGCCTATTTGAACTCCAATTTAAATAAGTAAGAAAAAATAAATTCCAATTTAAAATAAATGTGCTTACAGAGGATTATCTGGGGAAATGAACCTGGCCTTATTTGACAGAGGACCATCAAAATGATCCAGTGCCTTAGCTGTTTGAAGATACAGGCAGAGATTCATGTGAACAGCATTTATGAAGGAAGAATTGAAATGCATTTGTTTTTTCTTGAACACATCTTTCTACATTCCACTCACATACCTGCTCATACGTGCAAGTTCACAAATCACCCTGAAGATATAAAGGTTAGAAAAACAGTGTATTGCACTTGAGCAATTTCAGTCTTCTATGAGATGATAATTTTTAAGTGGATCTTTTAAACTATGAGTATCTAATTCAGGAATAAAGACACAGATGTTTCTTGAATAATAATTCTGGCTCTGACATTGTATACTCCAAGTTTACATTTTAAAATGGAGTCTTAGAGGAAATAGCATTTTGTTACAGGCTAGGGGTCACATTCTTTTATAAAACAAATGAATAAAGGACATCTTTGTATTTTGTACATGCAAGAATGAGATTGTGTATTGTAAATTACTTTTATTGCAAGGATAATTATTGCATTACAGTGCATAAAAACAGTCCTTAAAGTGGCAGAAATGCCTGAAGTGAATGCAAGTAACTTCTCTAATCATCTGAAAAGAATTCTTTATTGGTAATAACTGCAATCAGTTGTCATTCTAAAAGTGGAAATACTTGTGCCAGAGGCTGTAATGCTAAAACATGTAATGTGCAACATATGCAGCATCAGATGTTTGGATCAACAGAAGCCTGAAAGAAATGTTGTCTTATTAGGTAACAGAAGCAGGCAAGTAAGACAAGCTTTCAAGATGTTATGTATGCTTTTTTAATGCCTGAGTTGGATAATTTTGTACGTGATTTGACAGTTTAGAATCTGGCCTGGTGCCCAAAAGCAGTATATTTGCAGGCAAAGAAATTAGTGTGTTTTGGAAGCTCAAAGGTGCAGGAGTACCATAAAATCAGCGTCTATTGGCAGGGGACATTCTTTGGGCATGGCAAGCAATAAATGGAAAGCCCCAGATGCGTTAAGATCAAAGATATTAAGAACAGACAGTTGCTAAAATACTTACTTTTGTTATTCATTATAATGGCTGTGTACTTGAGTCCCCAAACTACTTTCTCACACTAACACTATGAATATTACATTCAAGGGCACTGGTGCTGTGGCTGTGCTGATCAAGTAGAGGCACCCTAACTGTATTCTAAGCGAGTGACTTTCTTGTAGTAAGAAGCTGCTTCGGGGCTGGTTGCAATGTGCAAATCTGGCTAAACATAAATGTTCAGTAGATGACTGATCTTTGTAGGTTCCTCTGAACTTTGGCTTTGTGATAATGAAAAAAAAAATAGTGCTTAGGCTTCTACTTTACTTTGGATGTCTTTGTTTTCAGTGGTAGTTGGACACTGTCTTTGGTTTTGTCCAACAACCAGTGTTTACTTTTTGAATTTCTGGAGTTCCTACATGGTATGGGATAGGGCCTTGGGTTTTCCTTTTTCCAAATGACCTTGAAGCAGGGAAGGCTCTTTCCCACCACAGGGCAATGAGAATAGCTGATGATTTAAAACAGGAAACACCACAAAATTCAAAACAATATCGGTAACTCTTGGAATTTTCCTACCAGAAATGCATTAATGAAAAATACGTTTTTTGGGTCTCTGGAATGCATATGGGAAGCTCCATGTTTCCAGTGTACACCTGCACTGACAAAGTACTTCTCCTTTCCCTGGTGTGTAAAAACCCTTTATCTTCAAATCCCTTGCTCAAGAACAGTTTAGATGGGACCTGCTTGTCCCTTGCTTCCCCCTTGTTCCAGGTCTTCAAACGTAGGCAGATATAGATAAATATATATGATTTCTCTGAAGCTAATGGAAACTTTATTTTATCACCTCTTCACAATTCAAAAAGTTGGCTGGTGGGATAGTAAAGAATTTTGGGGAACACTGATGTTTCTTCAAACAAGAAGTATAATCTCAGAGAGCAGTAACTCAGCACAGTCTTTTCCAAAATTAACCAGCTGAGCTTCATACAACTTAGTAAGTGTGGCCTCTAGAAAAATGGTCAAAATCTAAAAAAGGATGTTTGCCTTCATGTTGACAAAAAATATCCTCTTCCTCAATTCATGTTACACATCCAAGGAAATGTAGAAGCAGCACTGAGTCTGCTATCAACTTTGATGGGATGGAGGAAAATGAGTTGAAATAAAAGGAAGACTATATTGAAAAGAACTCGTTAATCTTCTGAATCCCTTTATGGTTTAGGTGATTTTTCTGAAATGCAGCTAAGCTTGCAGAACCTGATTGGTTTCTGTCTATACAATGCTGTTTGTGATTAAAGGCAGTTTATAAATTAAAAATGTCATAACTAATGGTCGTTTTTATAATATATGCAGAAAAAAAAAATACTTGGAAGCACAGTTGCAATTACTTTTCATTAAGAACTCCTGCTTGAAATCAAGGGTAGTTCTTTATGAGCTTCTGCACTTTATTCCTAATGTTAAACAATACATTTTTAGGTAATGAAAGAATAGGATTTTTTACCAGTTACACCTGGTACTTACTCTCAGTGCTTTCACTAGACTATCCCATGGAATTTCACAGATGTGATTAAGTATCATTATCTCCATTTGACAATGGAACAAATGATATCTAGAATGGTATGCTGACTTTTCCAAGGTAAGAGGAAATTGTCATCAGAACCAGGAATGAAACTGAAGTCTGTAGACCACTGGTCTGTACATCAACTCATAAGTAAAAATATACTTAAGACTAGAATGGAGAGAAACTAAAATGAGCAGACTAGAAAAGATATGTTAGGGAGAATTTTAAAATGTAAGATGACCTCAGTGATACAGAACCGTTATGCTTTATGAGGAAACTGAGTCAGGACAGTCATGAGATGATTGTTTGAGGTAGATATTTGATATTAAATAATGGGACTCCATATGAGGTTTTAAGTGGTAGATGAAATTAGGAAAGCGTCCCAGCTATGCAATTCAAAGAGAACTATTATATTTTTATTACAGATAAATTTTAATCCAGAGTCTTCTGTAACGTGAATAACTGCTAATCAGGGCTAATGTTAAAGCAATCCAAGGTCCCCTTATTTCAGAATCTCAGAAATTTCAGAATTTAGACTTGCCCCTAATTCTCAGAATCCCTGTCATTATTGCTGCACTGTGCTGTTAAATTTATGTCCCTGTTAAATTTCAGATGCATACTGGGATAAACCCATGGAAAACTCTGAGCCTTATTTTTTTGTAACTACATGTGAGAATCTGAACTTGTGTCTGTATTTGATTAGGTGGAAACATTATTGGTGGTCATGGGAAAGGCACTGGAAATCTTGGAATTAAGTCAGGACACGGTATTTGTTATTGCTTCCCAAGGCAGAACTGTTATTGTGAGAAAGATGATATCAAGGGTAAGTCTAAACATTATCTTCTGTTCTCATGTTAATCTTTTCCTCTGTATCTACCATCTGTTTAGATATATATACATGTATATATATACACCTATGCTCTGAACCTGTGGACATGTTAATAAGCAATATCTTTGGTCAGAGACTGCTAATATAAAATTAATTAAGAACTGGCACCTCAGAATTTCTAGAGGGGGTTACTTCTAGCCATGGCTAAAGATTCTTTTTTATCCATTACTACATGACAAACAGGTTGGTCGTCCTTTGATTTCCATCAACATTTGCACTTCAGTGAGACTCACCTCATATTTACAGAAACAACTAGGAGAATTTGAATAACAACTTCTATTCCTTTCAAGTAATTCCATCTTTCTAGTAATTTTTGAAAATCCCAGCTTCAAAATGTCAGAGATAGCCAGTACCCATTGTGTTAGGAGGAGCGGATTACTTTTTTAATTGACCTTTGTTTAAACGGGGAAGCTCTACGCAGTTGTTTGAAACAGGGTGATGGGGATTAAATAATGTTTGGTTTTATACTATTGCTAATAATAAACATAACATGAAATATTTTGCATCTCTAAAACTGAATTGTTTAGAATATATCTCAATTTGCTATTTTGAGTAAATTTTCTGTAGGCATAAGAAAAAGAGGAAGCATAAAGCTTTTTGCTTTTTTTTTTTTTTCTTGTTTTTTTTCTCTCTTTTTAAATTTCCTTTCTAGAATGGTATTGTGCTGTTTCCACTTACTTCTGAGGTACAGCTTGCAGATGTAGCTAAATTAACTAGGTATCTGAAGTCAGGATTATCTGATGAACAACAGTACAAAGGACAGTATTTTTCATCTCACAGTTTCTTCAGGAAGTGACCCCCTGGGGATCCTGTCTAAGGGCACTTAGAGTTAAAGAAACTTAGTTTCCAAAATAAGACACTAAAATTGCTTCTGCAAAAGGGGAAGTAGTAAATGGGGAGGAAAAGTAGTGCATATTACTTTAGAGGCAGTTGCAGCATTAAGCAATGTTTTCAGAAACAATTATTTTGTTAAATACAGAGCAGAAATATTTGAAGCCTCCTTATAATCTAAAAAGATGAAGAGAAATATTGTTTAATATCTAAGAATTGACATAATGAATTAATTTCATATTTGAAGAAGATTTTATTTGATGGGTTGAATGGCTCTAACATAAACTGTTGTCCATAAGCTAAAGTCAGTCATAGGTCTCCAGAGAGATAAGTGGTATCAGAAGATCAATATATGGTAGTCTGCGTCTTAAAGAAGAGTGTCAGGAGTAGCCTATGCCTATAAAGACAAGAAATATGATGTCAAGCTAGCCATCCTTACATTTATGCAGGCAGGTAGGCAAACAATTACCTGCTGGTGTCTAAAATAAAAAATAGAATTGGTAGGTGCAGTGGAAATATTTGCAAGTTCTCAGATTTCATTGAGATAAGCTATTAAGTTTTCCTCTAGATTTTTAAACCATTTTGAGTTCTGTTTCTGTCACACTTGTGTGCGTTATATGCACTGCCACAACAGAAGTAGGAGACAACAATCAAAGTTCTAAGAAGCTCTTCTTGGTCCACAGAGCAACTATGTGATGACGTGTGCAAGACTGTGATAGCAGGGGCAGTGCTGCTGTCCTTCATCATCTCTGTGCTGCTTTCTTCCTATTTCATCCATCGTTACCACAAGAATTCTCCAAAGCCACCTATTGCCTCTGCAGAAATGACGTTCCGGCGCCCAGCCCAGTCCTACCCCATCAGTTATTCTTCCACTAACGTCCGCCGGCCTTCTTTAGATTCCATGGAGAACCAGGTGTCTGTAGACACCTTTAAAATACCAGTAAGCCTGATGTCATTTTGCGTGCTCTTTTTGATGTCTCTCTTGTTCCTAAATAATGTTGTTTATGCATGCATAAACATAAAATGTTACAGAAATGCAATGTATTCATAGAGATACCCAACTCAAATACCTAAATTGGAAATCACATGTAAAGGCAAGGAACTGAAGATGCTTAATGAGTAATTGAGTAAACCATATAATTTACTCTGAGGCCAGTATATTCTTCTACTTTTGTTATATTTTAATATACTGTAACATCTTAGGTCTAATTTGAGCCTATGTTTTGTTTTGTTTTTTCTGAATGTAACACTGCATTTGACAGTAGTGTGGTTTTACTTTAACTTTGTCCAGTTGAATACTAATAATCAGCAGGTTTGTAGTCTCTGTGATGAGCCATAATACTACAACAAAGGTAAGTTTAAGACAAAACAAAAAACCTCACTGAGATCTTTTCCTGATTTCTGATATACAGGCTGTAGCTGTCAGTTGGAGTGGGAGTTCTACCCACATTTTAAGGATTTTTGCCCAGTCATACTATCATACCTTTAACCTAGTTTCTTCTGTGCTGAATCACATACTACTCGGGATGCCTGCCAGCCGGTGCATTTTCATGAACCAACATGGTAGAGAAACACTACCACTTTACATGATGTATGTGGCAACATCAAATCTATTTGACTGTTATATATGGAGGTCTTCACAGACCTTGTGCTCTGCTTGCTTTAGTTTCTTGTCTGGTTTGTACATCTGTCATCACTTTGCAACCTTAAGGCTTAATAATACTAATTTCATAAGAGGAGGATTGTTGTCTCTGAGGAAGTCTTAAGGGAAAGCCTTATTCTGTGAGTAAAACTAGTTTACTTCTTTGTGAAGTCCAAGGTCACATATTCATAGTTATTCTGAAAGCAAGTATTTATCCTGTATCACTTTGTTTTTCATTTGCACCCAATTTCCTAGACCTGTAAATATAATCCATTATCCATAAACTACGTGTACAGCTTATTTTGAAGGAGGTGTTTTCAAGGTAATGGAAAAACACTTGCAAAATACTTAGAGATTCAGAAGCTTTTATAGGTATACACTGATTGATAAAAAAAGCAACCAAACATTGTACACTGCAGTGTATGTATTGCTGAAGACTGTTCTCCTTTTGAATATTAATGCTTCTGATGCAGCAAGCCACTCCTCCTCTTATTTCATCTCATAGGTTTCCTTTTCTCTCCTGCAGGAAGACCCAAAGTGGGAATTCCCTCGGAAGAACCTAGTTCTGGGCAAAACTCTGGGAGAAGGAGAATTTGGAAAAGTTGTCAAGGCAACGGCATTCCGACTCAAGGGAAGGGCTGGCTATACCACTGTAGCGGTGAAAATGTTAAAAGGTACATTCCCATCTGGGTCTGAAATTATTTGAAAACTATTTTTTGTAAGCTCTGAATGGATTTTAGGAGGGACTAGCATGAAGGTAAAAGGTCAGCTAAGAACAACCAATGTCCCAGCCTCTATTTCTTCCAGCATTCTGTTATTTTCTGACAGATTTCTGACTTTAGGAGCTAGCATCACATTGATCAAAGTAAGTAATTTCCACAAGTAATTCTAATTCATTATGTGCAAGGACCTGCTGTCTTAACATAGCAAATGTATTTAATTTGGTTCGGTATTGATGGAAATATTGCAAGGGTTTGTTAAAGCTTATTTTTCCTCTTCCCAGTTTTCTTTGACAGAGCTTTTTAAATGAATCATGTTATAATCATGGCAAGAGACAGAACACACCTATTAAGTTACTTTTCTGATTGAGAATTCCATCTACTATTATACTTTCTGATCTGGTTTTCAATTACTGGGAATTCTGCCAAACTGGCTTGAATAGCCCAGTGCTGTCTTCTGGTGACTTCAGTTTTCCCTGAGACTTTAAAGCTGAGGAAAACAACGTATGCCTAGATAATGCTAAGATGATAACATGAGACCTTGAGCTCAACTATTCATTGCTGCTTATAAGTAACAACATGTCATTATAGGAAAATGTTATTACCTTTTCTAGTTTATGCAAGTGGAGTTTTACAAAAAAACCCAAACATCTGCTGCTGCTTGAGAGTGAAGATGCTGCATATCCCATCATTTTACCAAAGAAATAAATGCATTATGAATTGCATGCCTGCATTGCAGGAGGTTCACTGAAGAATAGCTCATATGGGGGAAGTCTAGGAACTAAGTTTTTTCAGAAGTGAAGACTTGTAATACTCAAGTAATGACCTGTGTATCATTATCTGTAGAATAGTCTTAGTCATTACTTCATTTCATATTTATTTGTGCACTTAGTGTCACTGTTTTTTCTAGCACATTTTCATCAACATGTGACTGAATTAAGATTCCAAGACATAGTGGTAAAAATGTTGCTTTTACTTGCAGATAATTTAACATTCAGCTTTCCCTACCTATTATGAAGGAAAGAATTGGCAGAATTGATAATGAGAAGGCGTAAGCCTTTATTTTAAGCATCTTATTAGAATAAATTGATCTGACATTTACAGTAGTACTTCAGGCTCTAATGAATCCCTTTGTAATGTAAATTACATTGGAGATAGTCACCTGAAATTCCATTTTCAAACTTGACTGTGGAGAACATTTGTCATTCTGCAAATATTTATCCATTGTTACTGCTTTAACTTTACTGTTAACACATGGCAACTGAAGTATAAGAAATATTGCATTAGTCCACAGGTCTCTGTAGTGCTGTCAGGAAATATAAGGGACAGTTATTGTGGGTCAGGCCAACATCACCCATTCTTTCTCTGTAACAGATGCAAAGGGGGTAGTTTGTCCAAGTATTAGGGACTCTACACTGCCTGATCTTTAAGGGAATTGTATGTATACCAGTATGTTAATGGAGGTAGCCTCTTGCTTACTGCATAAAAGATAATCTCCTGCCTGAGCTGTGTAGAAGGCCACAGTCTGTGGTTAAGAACAGACTAGGACTGGACTCTTCTTACTTTGTCAACTTGGCATTATATACTGGGGAGGGAACAGGGAGCAGGAAGTAATAAACTGAGCCAAAATAGTCTTGGAGCTATGGATGAAGGTTTAAAGGAGCAGAGGGATAATTTTTTCAGGTCATTATTAGCACTTTTCTCATATGAATTAAATGTGACCTCCTACATGATACAAATGCCCTCATTACAATAAAATTAAAGGGGAAAACACCATCCAGTACGTAAATAGACATTATTTGCAATTTGTAAAAAACAAATGGCATAAAGCTTCTGAGATAATTGTCTCCATTTATGAACTATCAAAGTTAGTTTTTCCAGCAGACAAACAGGCATATTATGTGGGGAAGCTTTTTCTGTTCTTGCACATGCTACACAGTTCCAGAGCTAGAAAAATAGGACCTCCTCACAGGCAATAAATTGAAGTTGTTCATTCCTGTTTTACGTAAATGCGTATTTTTTGTAGTCCCTATCAGTAGAGACCATCCAATATTGCACTCCTTGGGGTAGAAGACTGAGTGGAAGTTCAGACTATAAGATAATATATGGCAAATACAAACATATAGTAGAGCAGAATAGAAAATTGTCATGACCAGCACAAACTTATAGCATACCTATTTTAAATGGATATGTAAATAAATCCTTTGGTGCTTACAGCCTGTATGGAAAAACATACAGTATGGTACTAAAGAGCAGAAGCTGAGCTTGTTTTTTATTAGCCTTAAGTAAAGGTGACCACAGACTTGTCAACTGCCCAGTAATGACACTGTAGGAACTATCCAAGGAGGTTCTGTGTGTCAGAGAGATTAAGGATGAGGTAGAGAAAGGGTTACCTCTGACCTGTGGTGTCTTTATGACTAGGGATCTCCTTCAAGCCCCAATGTGTTCAAAGAGGAAGTTTGTTAGTCAGAATAATTCTGCAAAAACAAAATGCTTGAAAGGCTAAGAAAGCCTCTAGGGGCTATATATTGTATGATTCCCACTGACGTTAGAGAAGTCTGCATATGTGTCTCCCAGTAAAATCAATCTGAACTGTAAGTTTAGCTTCTGAACTCTACATCTGGATGTGTGCTACAAGTGCAAGCCAGTAGATTAGTGGATTTTTATTCCATCAGAAAATATATTTAGGAGGAGTAGGGCTATACCATGGGAGTTAAATGAGTCTTTTTTGTTTGATCCACATAAAATAGTGGCTTTCCTATGCTTCTGAAACATCAGTTGCACTGATTCACCCTAAAAAAGTTGCTTTAGAGCACTAGAAAAGGTCTGTAATAATTCCATAGCATCTGCAAGACATTACAGACTCTGGTCCTGATTCTTGGCTGACCTAATCTTTATTGCAGTCATTTGTATCAGGGCAGAGTGATGATTACAGCTGGTCACCGTGCCAGAACAGCAGCAGTCCTTTTCACTTGGTTCTGATATGAATGACTGTAGGATAGCAGAGATGGGGAAATTTCTCTCCCGTGGGGAAGTACGGAGTTTTCCAGCCTCTTGCTAATTCCAGGAGAAATGGTTGATCTCATACTTCAGGGGGTACATAGAGAACTCTTGACCGATGCTTTCCTAACCACAACTGTGTTTGGACACTTTCTGCAGAAAATGCTTCCCAGAGTGAGCTGCGAGATCTACTTTCAGAGTTCAACCTTTTGAAACAGGTGAACCATCCTCATGTCATCAAACTTTATGGAGCTTGCAGTCAAGACGGTAAATATTAGAAGCTCATTATTAAGATGAAAATGTCAAGCAAGGAAATAAAGAGCAGTTCATTGATGGGTTTGAACCACTGCTTAATAATTGCTGAGCACATTTAAATTTGCTCTGGCTGAAAAAATGAGGGACATATAAGAAAAGCAATGTTTGAAGGGAAGGGGAAGTGCTAATTCAGTGTAACTAAGCATTCTTCCTGTGGTTTTCTTCAGTACACATTTTGATTCTGAAGCTATTTTAAATTTAACCAATCTACTACCAGTTCTCTTCCAATCAATATATATTTTTATATAATGTTGATGGTCAGTATGTGTTTTCAAATATGGGTTATATTTGAAGTTTAATGGAGTTTTCATTATTGTTGTTACTCATGCTAGAACGATGCTCTGAGGCCTGAGCCAGAGAGTGAGATCTCCCTTTGAAAAACAAAGAAACAAAGATGACTACAGATCCTTTTTGTTAATATATATCTGGATAGTTAGACTGATACTTGGTTTTCCTCGTCTGTCACAACACTGTTATCTCCCTCTTGTTGTGAAATAGTTAAAAGCCACACTCATTGAAAGGTATATTTCAAGGGGGAAAATTTTCAGACACATGTATTATAAACTGCCAATGAAGCAAATTTCCATTGTTGTGCATAGGGAAATGACCTGAAAATTTCTGTTCATTTTAAATGAAGTTGCATGGCACTGTCTGCTTCCTTCTGCATCTGTAATTATGCAGCCCAAAAACACAGTATGCACTGTGCAGCCTTGGGCAAAGGCCTGCCTTCTTTGCCCACCCAGTTCTATTGCAATTGGGACTTTCAGTTGTAGACAGAGAATATAGTTCAGGACTGAGTCATCTCTGAGTCTTGTAAGGCAATGAACCAGAGGGGCAGGATATTTTTTTTTTTCTTTTCAGTACAATGTATTTTTGCATCCCAAAGGAAGTGAATTGTTTCTGAGTCACAGGCTTTTAATAAATATCAAGTTAATTCATTAGCGTATGAGGTGGGAGGACTTTGATACAGCAGACAAATGTATTTAGCATTAAAGCACTGAGTGGGTATTATTCATGTGGGTAATGGGGAGGAGAAACTAATGGATTGAAATGACAGAATATTTCTAAGTGCTCTGAAAAGGCACCTTAAGCACAACACTGGTATTAGCAGATGATTTGTGAGCTCAGTATCACACACTCCAGAAAATTATTTAGATTTCAATTTTTTTTAAAGAAGTTTTTCTAAGTTAGGCTGTTTAACAGATCTGATTTGTAAGGTTGTCTCTTTCTTTTTTAGTCTCAAATTATCTAGATGAGGGAATATAGGCAAGAGCCTGAATTCTGCTTTGATTTAGGCTGAAACTCATTCACTTTGCATGGATGATTTAAGCTAAAAATATTCTATGATTCCATGGCTGATTCAGTGCCTTTTACATGCAAGCCAGAAGTGTCTGGAGCCTCTGACTGTTCAAAATAATGCATTGATTAGAAGTGACATTTTGAAAAAAATTGAAATGGTTATCTATTGATTGTTTATTTATCAGTGTGTTTGTTTATTTCAGGCCCGCTGTATTTAATTGTGGAATACGCTAAATATGGCTCCTTGCGCAGTTTCCTCAGGGAAAGTCGAAAAGTAGGACCAAGCTATGTGGGTAGTGATGGCAACAGAAATTCAAGTTATTTGGATAACCCTGATGAGAGAGCCTTAACAATGGGAGATTTGATATCGTTTGCATGGCAGATATCACGAGGAATGCAGTACCTTGCGGAAATGAAGGTAGGGCAGTGTAACAGTGCTCTGAGCATGTCCTAGTGGTAGATGGATATGTTGGCAGCTGGTTCCTCCACAACAGAATAAATACTATTGTTGATTTCTTCCAAAAGCTTGTCCATCGTGATTTAGCAGCCAGAAATGTATTGGTGGCAGAAGGGCGCAAAATGAAGATTTCTGATTTTGGCCTCTCCCGTGATGTATATGAAGAAGATTCATATGTCAAGAGGAGCAAGGTACAGTGCATATTTAAAACAGTAGTGGGAATTATTACCTAATCAAGAGAATGAATTTATACTGCAGGACTTGAGCACAGAAGAAAAAGATAATAGCTAATATTTGTTAATTTAAAATAATTCTCCATTTTAAAGAAATAAAAATGAAGATGAAGCAAGATTATGAGCTTAATCAGTAGGACAGTAATATATATATATGTGTGTAAAAGATGTGTCACACTGAAGTCACCATTACTTCCTCCACCTCTTTTTGTTGACTCATCAACAAAAGCAATTTATTCCTAATATGTAAAAGTTGATAAAAGGAAGGGTCACTATGATAATTAAGGCCTTGGAGCACCTGACATGCAAGGAGAGGCTGACAGAGCTGAGTTTGTTTAGCCTGGAGAAAAGAGGGCTCAGGGGTGTCTTAGTGACGTGTATAAATACCTGATGGGAGGGAATAAAGCCAGCAGAGCCAGGCTCTTCTGACTGTGGCCCAGGTGCAGGACAAGAGAAAATAAGAGCTATTTTAAACATGAGAAATTATGTTTAAAGAAAGGAGAAAACTTTTCTGCCATTACAGTGATTGAACACTGGCACAGGCTGCCCAGAGAATCTCTGACCCTGGAGATACTCAAAACCTGGCTGGAAATGGTCTCAAGAAATGTGCTGTGGCTGACCCTGCTCTGAGCAGAGGGTGAGGTCCCTGCCCACCTTGACTGTTCTGTGATCTGGTGAAAAGTTGTAAGAAAATATAAAGAGCAGGATGAGATCTGCTGCTTTTTAAAACCAATTTGCCAAATAGTCTGTAATAAATTATTTCTTAAGGCTAGAGACTTCACACAGGATGCTTAAAAATAGCATGTGTTTTGTTAATGTAAATACAGAAGAATGACACCTTTTTTCATTGCAGAAGCTTTTAACTTATTAACCTTTTTACAGGTCGAGAGCAGCCCATTTTTAAATGAGGTGGGCTTTCTCATTTATCCAGTTTCTCATTACACTGCTTGAAAACACAAACAAAAACCACCATAGTTTTTCTCTGTCTCTTTTCCTGTTTATAATTAAAAATATAAACAAATCCCAAGGAGTTGAAAAAAAATGCAGACAATTTCTATAAAGGTCCTAATTTCAGGAACTATCACATCTATGCAGAAGACTTGAAGCAAAGCCCCCCTACAAATACTTACAAATGTACAAAAGATACCAAATCTTAATCAAAATGGTACCTCATAGGTCAGCATAGATCAGGAGCTAATGCTACCGGCCAGAAGTTATTTAAAGCAATTCTATTTTGCCTGCCACAGTAAATTATTGTCAGGTGCCTGGATACAGTTCTGTCTGCTCACAGTGCTCATGGCAGGATTCAGCATATGGTAACGTTTCACCTGTATAGCTGTGCAAAGGAAATTTGATGGAAAGACGAGTTGTTGGGTCACGTCACTACTTCCCTGAAAAGCAACACTTGAGCATAACAATTTTGAGACTAAGAAGATAAGTTAAGGCTTGTAATTTATTTTTTCTTGTAAAAAATACTGTCAAATACAGCGAGCCAAATCCCGCTCTCTGTCTGTTTGCATCCACCTGTCACTGACATGAGCAGTACTTTTAAAGTCAATCCCAGGCCAGACTGTGATGTTCACTAACACCACTTTCTATTGTCTCTTTCTAAGACGAGTAGTGTTGGTTCAGTTTCCTCTATGACTTAATATGAAAGAGTTACCGACAGAATTTTTTACATGTGAAAATTTCAGAATTTTATAAAAAGATTTCCATAAATACTGTGAATTTTCAGTTTAGCTTTCCCTGGTTTTTTTTTTTTTTTTTTTTCAGGCATTTGTGTGAATGTTCTCTAAGTCAAAATAGGTTGTGAAGAAGAAAAAAACATTTGGAAGAAATGATCTTATGTAAAAGGGCTTTGCCACATTCATTAGCTATCTTCTGATGGGTTTCACATTGATCTATATCAGTTGCTCTGTATTTTAAGAATTATGCATTTACATAAAGGCAGTTTCATTTTATTTGGCGGGGTGTTGATGTACTGAATGGATGCTTTCTCTCTACTTTTGAGACACTTGTTGCTGTAGTATTATTCAGAGCCTAACAAGCATCTGTCTGCTTGCATAGGGAAAAGAAAAAATTGAGAGGAAGGAAGAAGGATAAGTTTCAAATTCTACTGAAACAGTTGCTGCACATATATATATATATATACACACATATATATATAAATGTCATGATAACAAGAAGTAAGGCATATGAATGCTAGTGATATTGTGAGGGTTATGAAACATTTTGCAAATTTTGCAAAGCTAGATTTTCATGAATATCTTGGGCACATTTATCCAATTTTATCAGTGAATTTCTGCCAGTGGGAAGTAGCAACTTCCAGATTCAATTTAGTAATCAGTAACAGAGTATGACTATCTGGATACAGTTCTGAAACCAAAGGTATCTTAACATCTAGGTGCTTCCATTTATGCATCATCCCTGATATAAAAGAGATAGCTATTCCTCTTGAATCATCATTCCCCATCCTTTTTTTGCATTTGCATATTTCCCAAAAGCAATGCAAAGACAGACATTCATGTTTGAAGAATATAACTCTTTGGATGAAGCTCTTTGTTAAGAGGCGAGTTGAGTTCATCCAACTTAAACTGGTGACCATCTGGGAAAAAAACAGAGAATTTACTGCACATAATTAGATTACTGAAGTGTGTGGAATGAAACAAATGAGTGATTTTAAAAAATCTTACAGTTATTCTCCTCACTGTTTTTCTTATGAAATGCCAAACCTTTCAGTCCACTGGAAAATAATAGAGTATGGATAGAGTATCTGTTATGGTTTTGAAGACTGGTTTTCCACTTGGAAACTTAATTTTCTGACCAGCAATTGCATTGTTGCTTTTTTTCCTCCTAGGGTCGGATACCTGTTAAATGGATGGCCATAGAGTCCCTATTTGATCACATCTATACAACACAAAGTGATGTGTAAGTGTAAATTCTTGCATTCTTTCTGGTTTATGTGCTTGTTTGAGGAGATGAGGGGGGAAGCACAACAAGGTATGTAGTAGCCAAAGCTACCACTCTCACAAAGAGACGTGAAGAACACAACCTGGGTGGCATCATCAGCTGGAAATGACACATAGGATTTTTGCGGTTGAATAAAATCTGAAGAAAAGAATATCAGAGGTATTTAGGTATAAAATTCCCACTGAAATCAACAAGGGTTGGATCTTTTCATGTAACGTGGTTGCCTTTGAATATATAGACACAAATTATTAGTCTTTGTTAAAGGTAACAGTCATGCCCAAACTTCCCAGTTCCTGTGCATCACTTGTCTGTAACACTTGCTGGCAGATGAGGGATGGGGTGAGAATAAAGGAAGAAGAATTTAATGCCTGGTCTCACTCCTATTGAAATCAATGACAAAACTCCAATTAATTTTAATGAGAGCCAGCTCAGACCTTAGGGGAATAGTCTGGTTCCAGTGCCAAGATGCAAGTTCATTTGCACGATTATGGAAACAGATCCTGAAGATGGACATGCTCTTATCTCCACCTGATGATTAGGTGGCAAAGCAACCACAGATAAGCTGTTTTCATGTCTGAGAAGTGAGGGAGCCAGTCAGACAAGTGTTTGTATACATTTAACTCGGGATCAGATACTCCCCTTCCTTTTTCTGTGGGATGAAAGGTGTTTGTGACTAGTCACCAGGCAGACACTGTAAAACTAAGTGTTATTTATTTAGGAGAAAAACCTCTAAGGGACTGCAAAATGTGCAGGACTTAAGCCTGATTTTCTGCTATGTAGCATTTTGGGTAGCTTTTTGATACCTTCCAAGTTTCCCTTGAAAGAGGATGTGATTCAAGTAATGTTTTCATTAAACTCAAATGGAGTAAAACATACCAATCTCAGTGACACTTCACTTTGGGGGAAAACATTCGATAATAGCAGTATGTGCAAATATGAACCTTTTGATTTGTACTTCTAAAATTATTTACATTCACTTTTTACTCTTCTCTCTGCAGATCAGAGCAGTTTTAGTGAAATAAAATAACTTGCTTGCTGTGGATATTCCTTGCAAAATGAATTTCCAAAATACTTTCATTTATTTTGTTTCACTTGCAGTAAGAAAAGAAAAAAAGATTGGGGTAATTCTTGGGACAATGTCACTTCTACCTCGGTCTGCTTACAGGTTTCTCTGGGTCTCTCTTCATCCTTCTCAGAGTATTATTTGTGCTGACCTGCTCCTCTACAATGACTCTTCCCAGAGAGTTGTTAAAATCCTTTGAAAAACTTCTTAGTGCAGTTTAATTTCTTCATTTTTTGCAAAACAGATTTGTCACTATGGTTTGGGGTCAGAACAGATTGTGTTGTCATGTAACTGCCTCCTCTTTGATTGTTGATTGATCTTCTGGATCCAACACCATTCCTGCTTGTTTGTTTTCCTGATGGGCTGCTATTAAGCCCAGGAGCCCATCTCTCGTACACGTGATACAACGCCACGCAGAGATTGCCCAGCTGGCATCAAGCAAGGTAGCTCAGAGCCCTGGGCAGCACGCTCATGCTGTGCAGATTTACTGCTTCCCAGACCAGGATTAGTATCTTCGTGTAAAGCCATTCTGATTTACCAGCTTTCTTGGAGATGCATCGGGTATTCTTAGCAGAGCGCTGCTCTGTGCTTTGTAACTCTGCTTCAATACAATGGCATAAAAGGTCTAAATACCCGCCACACTTACACTGTCCCTTTGTCTCACTGGTGAGGTCACCTTCACTATTCATGTCATTATACATGAAGTAATCTAAGAGTGTTATTATAAGTTCTTAATTTAGCCAAGTCCCTACAGAACAGTACCGAGACACACAGAGAGAGTGTGTCTCAGTACACAAATCCTCTTGAGCACTAGGTTCCGTGAATGCCATTCCAACAGCAGCAAACTGACAAATGAAGTACTTTTTTGCAGCACTGACCGTTCATTTAGATAATTACACTCACTTGAAAATATTATTTTATGAATATTATTTGTTGTTTGTGGTAATGCAATTATTAATATACTCAACAATCATTCCAATATGGTGGGTGTGGGGGTTTTTTTGATACTCTGTGTTTTTATTTTCCAGCCTCTTCCTTCTAAAGCCTTTCTGTATAGTTAGTGGCTAGCAGTGCTTAGTACAGCAGTACCACTTGCCAGCATTTACAAAATCCCGGTTTTGCTTCAGGGGTCGATGACATCAGTGGAAAGCTAGCCTACTGTCTTCCTCTTCACATATTTTTCTTTCCTGGATTTTTCTGATCACATTTTTATTCAGCAGTAAACACAGCACAATGGGAATTTTTTCTTCTCCCATTTCTCCTCTCACAGTATTTAATTTGTATCATGTTTTGAAAGCACTGCAGCATTCTACAGCATTCTATGCTAATTTTCCTGTTTACTAAACAACTTTAAGAGATTATTCATCTGATCCCTCCTTCCAGATTCTGTAAAATTCCTCTTAAGCAGAAGAGGTGGATTTTAAAAATAAAACATGCCACACTACAAAGTTTATTTGAATTAATCATGGACAGAATTATAACCTGATGGCAGAGCATAATTGGCTTCAAAAAGGGTATGAGAAGGTATATTAATAAAGTAAATGAAAATGCCATAAATATTCATTAGCTTCCAAGAATGTGCAGAGTGATTAAAAATTAATTCATTGAATGGCATTAGGGAGAAAAATGACAACATACCACTTAGGACTGTGTGAGACTCCCATGGGCTTCTCTGCCCATTTTGGAAGTTTTATTGCTGTACTTCTGGGGTTACCATTGTTCTTTAAAATGTAAGAAACACAGGTGGAATGTCATCAGACAGGAGGTGAGGCTTGTGGCTAACCTTTTGAGATGGAATTTTCAAAGGAAATTAGACACTGTCGTTTGGTTTGGCATTAGGTGCATAACACTAAAATCTTAAAAGTGGAGTTTTTACAGAAATTACCCAATGATGAGAGCACAGAAGCTAACATTTGTCATAAATTGTATGTAATTTCCTTTCAGATGCATCCCACTGAGTATCCCCTTTGAGTAAAACAGTGTTGGCTGGTTTCCTTCATTTTGAACATCCAAATTTTGGCAGTTTTGTCAGTTGAACAGATTCAGAGTGATTTATAGCTTCTTTGTGTCTCAAAAAAGTCTTCCACTAAGAAAAGAAAAACATTCTTGCCTCTCTTCTCCTGGTCTGCCCTCCAAAAATGGACTAATTTAATCCATCTAAATATTTCCAACCCATTAAGGACTTTTTGTTAGAGCTTATCCATAAAGTAGGTTTAAAAAGTTACCATTTCTTCTGTTCATTTCAGAAAACAGTTTCTTCTGTCTTCTGTTCTACATTAAACAGTATTTTAGGCATTTGGTATTTCCAGAATAAATTCTTTCCTCTTCTTTCATCAACTCTAAGAAGAAAATGAAGTCCTGAATCACTGAAATGGCCCAACAGACCAGCTGGAATCAAAGGTGTTGCTTATGATTGAAATAAACACATTATGTATATAAAGAAACACCACCTCATAGTCAAGACATCAAACCTGTCCCCTGATAACTGGATGATCCAACCTGTGAAAATGTAGACAATTATTTCTGAATAAGACTATAAGGGCTAATTAGGGAAGTTAGACTCCCTCTGTAGCCAAAGGAAAAAGAGAGGTACCTCCAGGAGCACCGTACGGAAGAGGAACAAGCCTTTGGGCTGGGCCACCATGGGAGGGACTTTCTTTCTGCTCTCTAGAGAAGATGGGCCTTCCCAGGATACAGTTAGCTTTTGTCAATGGATAAAAGAGGAGTATCACCTACCTCTACTGTGTTGGTTGCTAATCTTTTTAATGAACAGTATTTAGGAACAAGGATGGCCCTTTATGCATCTGTACAGCCCCTCTGACTCAGCATTGTTTTAAATTTGCTTGGGTTCTCAAAACACTAAAGAGAGATTTGTTGGGTGAAAGCCATGCTAAGCTCTTGAAACCTACCACTCTAAGTAAAAGCTCATTTTCTCTTTTTCAGATGGTCATTTGGAGTCCTGCTATGGGAGATTGTAACTTTGGGAGGCAATCCCTACCCAGGTATTGCTCCTGAAAGACTCTTTAACCTTCTAAAAACAGGCTATAGAATGGAGAGACCAGAAAACTGCAGTGAAGAAATGTAAGTAGCTCTTGATCTGATTAGATAAAATATCTCTTGAATAAATGCATTACAAAAAAAAAAAAAGGTTTCAATAAATACCATGTAAATACTATTTTGTATATCTCAGAGGTATAATCAAAATATGTAGTGCTCAAAAGAATGTAATGAAATTAGTGAACAGTAAAATGCGGGAAAAGAGTTGCCAACAGAATGCTTGCTGCTTCATCCAAAATATTTGTAAGATATCAAATAACACACTTGCCAAACAATTTAAAAAGTTTGAATATTCAAAACTTTTGAGTGTGGGGGGAGGAGAGGGATTTCAGAAAACACAGTGGTAGCTGAAATATTCAAGAAAATGTTTCAGTACTTTTCTGCACATGAGATAGGTGTCCCATCCACAGTCATTGTCTATTAGCTTTCCTGGCATTACATAGGAGAAATGATACCTTGACCGAGAAATCTATACCCTAGAAAACAAAAAGCTTCTGTGACTTGATAAGCCCATAGAAATTTCTTTTCTGTTTGGACACAGTTCATATTTTATTGGCGGATTTATTAAAACACTCTCGATGTGAAATAACTTCTCTCTGTGGTTCTTCCATGGCATTTGGAGATAAGGCATGATTTTATGTTCGGCCTGCAAATCTGGTCATGGTCAGGTTTCTTTAGAAAGTTACCAGACTGTAATCACTATGACATCTCTTTTGACTGATTTTCCATATGAAGGATACTTTGGTCACATCCAGGCTGAGAAAATACAGTCTAAATAATACTTTTTTTTTTTTTTTTTTTTCTTTTAATACCATATACAGAGAAAAAGCATTAAGGGTTTCTGAATTTAGGGCAGGGTAGAAGTTTGCAAGTGTCACTGGCAAATATCCTCTAGCAGGTGCTTAATTTTTCTTTGTTTCATCTCAACAGGGAGTAAGACCTAATTTCTCAGCCATCTATCATTGATAATTATTAGGTTAGGTAAGCTGACCATGTCTGAGGTTCTTTTTTTATTCAAGCCACATCATGGTTTTCTGACTGGTTCAGATTTTTTCTGTTTTGCTCAGAAATTTTTCTGACAGCTTTTGAGAGCCCACTTTAAGGACCATTTTTCTTAAATTGCATTCTCTGCTTTATCCAGTCAAGTAAGAGAGAGATCATGGATGAGGGCATAAAATGCAATCCTTTTCAATAGCTTGCTGTAGTTCTTGTAGCCAACAATTTCGACAATTACAGCAATTCTGTGACTGGATCACTTGGTTCTGAAAACAGTTGAGCTAGAAAAATAACATGAACAGCACAGGTTGGAGAGATACACAATCAGAACTTGTCCAATGTCTGCCTTATAGTCACTCAACTATAAAACTATTTCTGCTCCATTTAATTTCCATGCTGTATGCTATAGAAGGCAGTTAAAGACAGAGTAAGAATAGATATAATAAAAATATCAATAATAGAAGTAATCAAAAGAATGTTAGTTTGTGCAAATAGATTAGGCTTCACTTTAAAGAAAAGTTTACAGAAACTTTTCAGAATTTAAACGAAAGAAGAACAAAATTCTAATTTCTGATATAACAGCAGAGTTTTTCAGGTTGAGAGATGCATGTCAGTGATGATACACAAATTTCTTCAAAATCATACACAAACAAAACCAATTAGAAATCTGGCATGCTGCCTACACATCAGGTGGTCCTTTGAGAAAGTGAGAATAATGAAATAAACCTAAGACCACTGTCCTTCAAGGACAGCCAAGCACATCATCATTTAAACTCATAAAGACTCATGGAAGTAAAAGCCCGTTCTTGTGAAAGTCAGTTGTTGGTTCAAGAGAATGTTTAACAGAACATACAACAAAGATCGATGTGCTTGTGGATGGCCTTCATGCTACAATTTGACTTCAGTACTATAAATTATTTAAGAAGAAGCACTGACTCACTTCTAACAATTTGGGTGGGGTTTTTTTCACCTTGTGGTGGGTCACAGGTACAACCTGATGTTGCGCTGTTGGAAGCAAGAACCTGATAAAAGACCAACATTTGCTGAGATCAGCAAGGAACTGGAGAAAATGATGGTGAAGAGTAGGGTAAGTAAGTGTGGGAAAGCATAAGTTTTTGAAAGTTGTTGTGATCATCTGAGTTTGAATATACAGAAATAATGATTTTTTTTTTTCAAAGCAAAGTAATTTAATCAAATTTTGAAGCACTTATAGATCTAGTTTCTTCCAAATGCATCCAGTTTTTCAACAGCAGTACTACTTCATACAGTGGCTTTGGTGACCTCAGCCCTAAATGCAGATGAGTTAAACTTAATCTGTCTAACTTCCATAAATTTAAAAAAAAAAAAAAAAAATACTGTGAAACATTACTCCTAGATTGCACTCCTGAATAAGTAACCCTCGGAATTCTGGAACTAGAAGAATGCAGTATTTGTTTGAAACTGATTTAGTTATATGATGATAGCAACAGAGATACAAAAGCTATATGATTCCACCACTCTAAATTACTTTAAAATTGTTATAATCCTGTACAGACTTTCTTTGAATGAATGGATGCTGCGGTCTAAAAATAAGTCCAAGTTGCATATATTTATAAAATGTATGCATACCTGCTTGTACATAAACACATAATTTTTTTTTTTAAAATCTACTAGTTATGGGAAGGTATCAGTTACAAATGAAAAGCAGAAGAAATACAGCAACCGTTATAAAATTTGAGAATGTGATGGCGTAGACATTGGGTTCCAGAAGGACTAATAAATGGGAACAGTTTTGTTCAGAATGTGAATGTAAAAATAAGTTCTAAATTAAAAATGGCAAACTGAAAATTCTAGGCTGTACATTAAATCACTCTGACTTGTCAGCCACTAACTTTGAGCTGCTGAGAATCAATATGCCAACCAGCTGCATGTCCAGTGAAGGACTTGTAATGCAGAGGCTGGCAAGTTTTCTGACATTTTCATTGTAATTAAAACCAAAGCCAATCCAAAAAAGAGCTCAACAAATTAGTAATTTTTCTTCTTGCCTTTCTGCATGAAAAATTCTGAAGATTTTTCAATTTATAAAATTGGGTAACTACCTTTTTAAAGTTTAATTTCAGTAAAAATCCAAAGTAAAAGCCATTTTGAAACAAAAAAATATATTTCAGATTAGTTGAAAATGCTTCACATTTGTTTTTTGCATCAAAGCAGTTCAGCAGTATAGATGAAAACCTATGAATTCTTATGGTTGACCTAAATATTTTGTTTTAGAACAAGAGCAGCAAAAGCTTTATTTGGCAATATTTACACAGCTAATTTTATACATGCTTTTGTAAAATGGTGAGAAGATCTGAGTACCTTCTCCTTTAAGCGTGCATATGTATCTCTATATACATATATATTTCAGGCATACATATGTATCAGACATAATGGCAACTGAAGGTCAAACAAATCAGTTAGCACAGCATTTTAACTTCTTGGTTATTTTACTGATGTGTAGAATTAAGTAAGGTAAGTATTAATATGTCTCTAGCAAATCAGATGCTTCCAAAGATGCTATGATTGCAGAAAGGGAGACCCTACTCAGGTGCCAGAGGTATCAAAAGACAAATGCAGTGGGGTCTCTAGTTACTTGTTTTAAAGAAATCAGATGCACATTTAGTCTTTATACCCAGCCAGCGACACTGCGACATACGCTAACCCAGCTTTTTCTGTGTTCACTTCTTAGGACTACTTAGATCTTGCGGCTTCCACGCCTTCCGATTCCTTACTTTATGATGACGGGCTCTCAGAAGAGGAGACACCACTCGTGGACTGTAATAATGCTCCCCTCCCTCGAACCCTCCCTTCCACATGGATTGAAAACAAACTCTATGGTAGAATTTCACATGCATTTACTAGATTCTAGCAACACAAAAAAAAAAAAATGATTTTTCTTCTGCACTGTTCTCAGACTCTGTAACCCCATTACAGTGTTCCTTGTCTGAATGAAGCCAATCAAAATTTGCTTGGAAGCTTCTTTTGGGTTTTTTTGTTTGTTTGTTTTTTGTTTTGTTAATGTCAAAGTTTGCATCAGGATCATCCTTTAGTCATTTTGCAGTTGTGTTTAAAATAAACATTTTTAAAAGGATGTGAAAATAAGTAAAATGACTAGATATCATACAGTAAAAGAAAAAAAAAAAGATCAGGGAAGTTTACTCAGGGGAAATATAAAATGCTAATGAGATCTAATTCAACTATCCTGTTGGGGGAGGCTAGGAACATTTAAAGTATGTTAGATTCTGCACCTCTAATTTAAGCAATAGTCTTTTTTTTAAAAAATACTGTTTTTTGCCATAGCTCAATGATAGGACCCATCTGCAACATATTTCATTTATCAAGATAGATTTTTAAACTTCAGCTGCTGTTAATGCATTCTGGATCCATAAGCTGAAATGTCTATTTAATGTATCATAGAATGAAACCAGAGTATTATATACAGAAGGTAGAAAAACTGTATGTAAGTATTATATACAAAACAAATCAATATGTAAAGTCCTTTGAAAATTGAATTAATGATGGGCATTTTGAAAATACTCAGCTGTTTTCACGTCCTTTGATTTATTATGAAAATATCAGTACTAAACCTTGACTGAATGATGTAGCAAGTGTTTTTAAAAAGAACATGTGCTTTCATATTGTGATGGTGAGATGGACAGTAAAAATGGTTCTTGCCAAAACTCCTACATTTTGTCTTCTGATTAAATATTCTACATGTTTTTAGATATTTACTAACACCACAAATACTTTTTTCATTCTTCAGGCAGTATGACTTTTGAAAAGTTGGATCTTTTAGCTTAAAAGTTGCCATTAATACATGGCTTTGGGTCTATTTTTGATCTATACCCTAGCTATAATTTTCTTTAATAGGTTCCCTCAACTCACGTTCACTTTGGGGCACTTAGTGGCCAGATTGTTAAAAGAATGAAGTAACAGAAAAAGTTGCCACCGAGGTTGATGGCAGATACTGAATGCTTAATAATCCACAGAATCATTTCTGTTTTTGAAAAACTTGACCCTGGTATGGTTCTCTGCTTGTACAGCTGGATCAACATGGTGCTAAGCACTCTGCTTCCATTTTGGTGATCACTTTGGTGCCTAAACCGAGAAGCAGTTACTGGACTCAATGCAAATAATTACATGCCTGAAATACATGTTCAAATGCTGAATCAAGACAAGAGTGCTCAGGACTTTGTTGGACTTTACTCATTTGTGCTCCTGGGGTTTCCTAAAATTAAGTGGGGATCCCTGGTGAGGGTGTGAGAGCGTCCCCAAAACCTCACTGAAACCAAAGGAAAGGTGCCTGTTTAAGTAAATGGAAATACTCTCAGTCATGGAATGGACTTTGGATCCTGTCCCAAATTAGTTTATTAGTTCTTGGAGTACTTCCTGTACAGCAAGAACTTCCTCTTGCAAAGCAATATATTGTTACATGATTGTTAAAAAAGAAAATTATGGAATGTTGGAGGCTCATTAGAAGAAAAATTATTAGCTTTTTATTATGCATGTGCGTGCATGCACACATTTTTTTATTGAGTAAGCACTTTATTTTTTCAGAGTTTTTGCCTACATCTGAATTTGTGCTTCAGGGATTTTGAAACATCATTTATGTGAATTGATTTGGGACAAAATCCAGTGGACTGGCTTAAAATATTGAAGGGAGTTTTGCCAAGGGCCTTACTGTCTGCACATGAAGTTATGGTTCTTCAGTGCAGAAAAAATTATCTGTTTTCATTTTTAGGCATGTCATACCCGAACTGGCCTGAGGAGAGCCCCGTTCCACTCACAAGATTCGATGGCACTAACTCTGTGTTTTCAAGATATGCAAATGATAGTGTATATGCTAACTGGATGGTTTCACACTCAGCGGCAAAATTTATGGACAAGTTTGATAGCTAAAATTTTCTTTGTGAAAGGTAACGGACTCCTGAGGGGAACAAAGATGCAAAGAATGGAAAGTCCATTGGCTCGTTCTTTGTACAATCAACAACTAAGTTTAAATTGGCAAATCCTTTTATTGGTAGTTTCTAAAGTGTGTTATTCATGCTGAAGACTATAACTGGTGATTTCCCCTTTCAGAAAACATATCAAGCTCGGTAAGAGTGATAGTTCCAGTACTTCTTTCTAGATTGCCATTTTGCATATGGTTCCATTTGGCAACTTCTTACTGCAAATGGCCTCACACTTCATTCTCGCTGTTTTTTAGACTAACCATCCTGTGTTACAGCTTTCTTGGATGGGAAAATGTACTTGAACTGCTACTTTTATAGTGGCTGTCAGCATACGACCACTTGATCTAAGCAGGAAGCACAAACAATATATGGAAAGGAGGAGGGAAATAGGCTACCAGATTACTGAACTTGCTATCAGATGAGAAGTGTTATGATGATGTTGGCACTAGCGAAGCCTCTATCTTGGTTTGGAAGCAAACATGAAGTAACTCAATAGAGGACTTGAGATTCAACATTTGAAGTCTTGTAAAATGTATTGTCTTGTCTTAATGAGAAGAGAATTTGTTTTATTAGTCTTAACTTCTCTTACCTTTAGCACAATGGAGATAAATTTGATACAAAATAAGATGTATAGACTGATGGCAATCAAGAGTATTCGTCTGACACAATTTACTTTCCATCACCTACACCTTACTAATGTTAAAATGTACAATCATAGTTCCTCTTATGAGTTCAAAATAGACTGTACAGGGTTTTTAGATTGAATACAAGTAAAGAGACTTTGTTTGTAGTCATGTTCAATGGGTTGGAGTCCTCCTCTCAGCTCCGAATTGGATACACTGCCATGCACAGGACACTGCCATGACATAACTCCAGATAAACCTATTACATTGAAAGTCATGAGTAAACTACATTTGCACAGCAAAATTGGTCTGAAACTCTACTGTTAATGAAACTATACAAGGAAAATGTCATCGGAAATTGTTAAGGTGAAATATAAAGATGTTGTGCTTACAACACTGACTTGATATTTGGGAGAATGACCAGACTGTGGGTTGTGTTCTGTGTGGAAACGTAAATGATCAGCACTACTTTTGTCTTTATTTGTAATCTAATATGGTTAAAGATAACTTTTTATTTGCTACAAATGTTGGGACGTAAATCCTGAGTGACTCGTTGTTAGCGTTGTGATGGTTATTCTAAATAATCCAATTCTACCAAAGCTTGCTCCTGTCACTTACAGTCCAATTTAGCTGTTTTCAGATGTTGTTTTGTGTATCAACTTTATGTTTCCATTAAAGTCTGTGATTTCAGAAACATGAGAGTCAGACTGCCAAAACCTGAACACAGGTTTCTATTTTACCAAGAGTGGGATAAAAAGTGCTGTGTTAGAATTTAAACACCTGCACTGCTGGATATCATACTCGATCCTGTCTTGGTTTCGGACAAGCACTAAGCAGAGTGACTTTTTCTTTGTGCAAACTTTTGCTGTATTGTGTAATGCTTATGTACAGTAAACAGATTTAGCTATGTATAGAGAAGGGGTTCAGTTGTGATATAATGGTGATCTTCACTGGCATAACACAACTGTCAGAATGCATACTTTTAAAATAAATGGCACTGAAAATTAAGCCCATTATATGGGCTTTCTTTTTTCTACTGACATCTATGAAAAAAGGAAAGAAAAATGGCACTTTTGGTAACTTGTTGCTTTCTCCAGTCCTTTTCCTATATTTTAAGTCTGTAAATGGGAATTCTTTATTTGCTATGAGCAATCAAGGCATCATTTGGGGTTTTTTTGGGTTTGGGTTTTTATTATTCATTAAATTAATAATTTATTTTTATCAGCTATCTTCAACAACAGTATTCAACTGGGAGATGTGAAGCACCCAGTTTCTAACCAGAAAAGCCCTGCAACAACATTGCTGTACAGTAGGTGAGTGAGATAGTAAGTGATGCTGAAATAACCAGTGGATGCAGAAAGTATTGCATATTTTAGACTTCCAGTATGAAACAATGTTGCTTCACCCATTAATTCCTGTGAAAAATAACACTAATAGTTATGGCCATCTATGTTACCGGACATCGATTCTGCATATAAAATACATATATACCTCATAATTATAGTTGCCAGACAGAATTACGTGCGTTAAGTGAAGCTTAATGAAGAATTTGTAACAAGTGTTTCCTAATCTAACTAATTGTGACTCCCTCCCTGCTCATGAATGTTGGTAAGAAATAGACTATTGCTTTCAAGTATTCACCCATAGTATGAAAACTTCTCATATCTTCTGCATACGCTATTTTTGTAAATATTTGCCTTGAAGTGTTTCCTGTTTGTTCTCTGTTGCCATTAGTCAGAATGGTGACAATCTTGTTTCAGTTCCCCATTAGAGAGTAAATGTACTTCCCATGTGGGAAAAAAGTGATACTGCAGATGATTATTTCCATCGGTTCCAGAAATAGTTACACATTTGGCTGCCCTGAGCAAAGTGAATTCAAAGGGAAGAAATGACTCACTTAAATGTACAGGTTGGAGGGAATAACTTTCTAAAAATTTCTGCCAGCCTTTTCTAAATATTCACAGAGATTACGTGGTTTACCTGGTCTGTGCTTTGAGCTGTGACAGATGGGGGAGAGGGTGAATCTCACATGTCCTTCCAGTCATTACAGCAACACATGGAAATTACTGTAATATTTGTTTCTACAAACTTTTCCAGAGGTATGATACTCGGAAAAACTACTGAGAGGTTGAAGATTTTCATCTTTAGACACTAGCCTGTTTCATATAATAGAAATTTTTTAAAAATTTGTCCTGTGAATATCAGGCACATAATATTTAAATCATGTGGTTTTATCTACAATTTATCATGCAAAATGTGCATGAATCTCTATGGTACACTCAACTGGACCTAGGTAATTTTCAAGAGCATACAGTAAAACCAAGTTTCTATTCCTTGACATTTTAGAATTAATTTTATATGAATAATACAAGCCTCAAAATATATCTAAACAGAATATTTCTACTGTAACTTCTAAAACGTGAAAAAAAAAAAAAAATTACTTATAATTTTGAAATGCTGTGTTTCAAAACACAGCTCACCTAAAAGCTCTGTGTCTCTTACTGCAGCTACAATAGTAAATTTATAGCAAAACACTAGAGATTGTGTTCAGCAGCACCAGCTCCTAGGTAGCAGCAGCCAATGTTGCCCATAAACAAGGTGCAGATTGTCCATAGTGAGATGAATGGTTTGACTTTTTCAGGCTAAGCTATCTTTCTGAAAAAGAACCCTATGATTCCCTAAAGATGTATAAAAGTATGTAAAATCTTAATAAAAAAACCTGAGCTGTTGAGGTCCACTGCATCTGACCATATAATTTAAGAAGACTCTCTAAAGTTAGTGGGATCATTCATGAATAAATTATTCATAAACATTTTCTGGTCTAAAATCAAATATACCAATAGTCTGCTAGCAAAAGTACAAAAGATATTATCAAAATACGGAAAAGTAGCAATAGTCCAGGTCTACCCATCCCTAGCACAATATTCTAACTTGTCGACCTAGAAGCGGGTACTAGATACTAGAGGACAGGTAAGCACAGATCTATCTCTAATATATATCTAGAAGATTTTTCAGTATTTATCAAGTTCTTCAGTAAAGATGAGTTGTTCACGTAAGCTGCATTTCGTATTTGTTTCTTATTTCTAATTCTTTGGGACAGCAACCTGCATCTTCCAGTTATGATAGAGAGAGATATACTCAGTGCATTTTGAGAAGATGAATAGTTCTCTTTTCATGATGTGCTTTTTGGTTTTACCTGGTTTTATAAAGGGTTGCATAGTATCTCAACAGATTTCTTGCTAAAAAAGTGGTTTTTTGAGCTGTTACGAAGGTTCATTTTGCAAATAACATTCTGAAATCAAATAAAAAGGTTTTGCCTACCTGAGTAGAGACAAGTACAACTTCCCTTAAGGTCATCTGAAATAATTAGCTCCTTACTTTTGGCTAATGAGGTACACTTCATAAAAATCCAACTTCATCTCATCTGGAAGCTGTTTCATATGGATTACAGGCAAATCCAAAATGGTATGAATAATTTAGGAGCACTGCAGTTGTACTTTATGTGTCAAGAAATAATTTTCCAAGTTTCTCTATTAGCAAAGAGAATGGAAAAAAAGTGTGTTCATCTCCAAGATAGTTAAAAAAAACTTAGTAACTTTTGAAATCAATGACAATCTAATGATTGTTGTCATTAGGTATCAGACCGAGAGTCTGGTCCTATCGTTGCCGATACAAGAAAATGTATATTAACATACAAGATAAGTGGTTTAAGTACATTTTTACCTTGCCACAAGAAAAGCTTTCCATTTAATTAGCTAAGCACAGAAGTTTGTAGAGGTTCAAACCATTACACTGATAACAAGTAATGTGCATATTTTGAATAAATAGTGATGTTTACAATAGGTGTTTCTGTTTGTTTTGGATTTTTTAATTGGCTCCCAAACATAAAAATGGATTGGGTTTTCACAAAATACTCAGCTTTGACCTAGGTCACCTCCCATTATGTCCCTGATAAACCTCTGCTCATGTTAATTTTATAGCCAATGGGCAAATCTTGACTCAAAATATAAAAAGATGCTTATTTTATCACAATATTGATGTAGTGGAAGGAACCACTAGTTGCATGGTCAGAATTACTGAATGGGTCTGCACATAGATACAGTGTTTTAAAATGTGATTAGGATATGAAGGTAAAAGCAGTCACTGTTCCTGCCTAGTTTGTAGTTAAGGGGTAGGTGCAAACAGTCTGGTACCTGCAGAAATCCCCATGGGAAGTTAGTTTCTGTGTAAATTTCCTCTTGTATTTACAAGATGACGTGCAAATAAAACATAGAGTTAGAAATTGGGGGGGGGAGAAATGATATATCAGCTTCATTTTCTCAGCCTCTCTGCAACAGATTGTTATTAAAAAAAAACAGATACTATGATTATTTCTTCAGTTCAGAAATGTGTTGGCATGTCTGAAACAAGCAATAGAGGTCCCCTGCTGTAAAGCATGTCCACTGTAGTGGGACTAGGTTTTTATGTATTTCATAGTCTCCTCTAAGTGGAGGACAGAAGAGAATGTAAGCCAATACGTCTAGGTTCTTAGTTTTAGAATTATGTTTGCAGAGTAATTGAATACCGCAGGGATAGATGATTTAAATCTTTCACAACACTGGTGCCAGAAATAGTTGTTGAGTTACTACGTACCACATTAGCACTGCATCTGTTGGACAAGGAGTCAACAGATGACTGCAGTGAGCAGATGTGTGGTCTCTTTCTTTTCTGCTATTAACCCGATATTCCCTCACCCCACATTTGATCTGATCTGGGTAGGAACACAGATTTCCCCACAGGAGGCTTTTCTGTATGCTGAAGTCTACAGGGACAGAAGGATATGAGGTGGTGAGGAGACCCCTTTTTCTGTTCATGTTCTGCAGGATGGGGTTCCCTACCTTCTCATTCTTGAGGCATGTGAGCAGGGAAGCGACTGAGCAGACAGACCCATCAGAAGACAAATATCCTATCTCCCCGGCGCAGGCCACGCAGAAGGAATTGTGTGAGGGCCCCCAGGGAGGCTCGCTGGGAAGCGCAGGACTAGTCTCACACTCACGTTCATAAACCCTGCAATGCAACAACAGCAATCCAAAGTTAAAGAACAGGGTTCACCTTCAGTCCTGATCTGAACTGAAAATGTACATGTACCTTCTGATGTTAAGAGGGTCGGTACCGAATAAATTTAGCGTGGTTCGTGATTGTACGTGCCCAGAGCTCTGACGTTATGAAAAGAGGAAGTTATCCTTACATGGAATCATAGAATCATAGCACTGTTCAGGTTGGACAGGACCTTTAAGATCATCCTGGGGGGTTATAGCTAACACATCTCCTCCCACAGAAAGCTGTAGCTGTTAGAACCCCTTGGCACTTCTAACATGGGGTTCTCACTGCTGGCCAATCTGTTTATACGATTCTGAAAGTGCAACGATCACTAGCAATAACCGTTTAGATTTTTAATTTCAACAAATTCCCAGAAACAAAAGGAGGGTGTAGAAATGCCAAAATAAACCTTCTGCATCTTTAGGGGCTTCAGAGATGTGAAATAGATCCAGTCTGTGTTCAGACACAAATGAAGTAAGTTTGGTTGGAGCACACATGCATTTCTTGGAGTTTTTGCCTTATGCTAGTAGACATCTCATTTAGAACAACTCAAGAAACTTTGGACCTCCAAACTTGAATTTTTAAGCCTATGATGTAGCCACACATTTGAATTCCTGTAGAAACTCATCCTAGATCTGGCTATTAATCAAACACTGCATTTTCCAGTCGAATTTTTCTGCATTCTACAAGTCATGTAAGTACTTGTTAAAGCCCTTATGTAATTTTTCAGCTGTTTGGGGCTTTCCCTCCTGACATGACTGTAGTTGAAAGAGTTTGATGTGAGCACTGATTTTCATTTGCAACATGTGTTATTTTCATAGCTCCCTGCCAATGTAATTTCCTGTCTGAATTTGCTATGATTAAGGATGGAAGTATTTTAAATTTTTTAATAAAACCAAATCAAATGAACCTGTATTATAAGCATTTGGTTTGCTAAGAATCTTGCTTGCATATATTTAGGTAAATTTTAAGGTTATTTTGAGGAAAAAATAAAAACAATTCCACTTCCTCTTTCAGATTTTGTGAAGAAGTAAGTTATAGCCCAATGCAAACCAATAAAACAGTAGGATACACTGATACTACTTGTTTACAACATTGCTACCAGTAACAAGAATAGTATCCATTTATTCAGGAGTATTTAACAAAAAAAGGAAGAGCTTTGGAGTAACTTCATTACAACCTTACATCTGTTGGGAAGGAAAATGTCCAAAGGGTGGAATCCCAAATAAAAGTGGTGGCTGGTATTACAGACAAGGAGGCTGCTCTAGAGGGCTGCTCTTGATCCTTGAGAAAGCTGGTAAAGGGTTCATCTTAAGACAATTGAGAAGTTTGGAAGAGCATTGTAAAGACTGAGATGTGGGAAAAGCCTATGGGAAACATCCAGGAGATTAATTCCAGATTCATAGCATATTTTTTTTTTTTTAAATGTGTGTGCAGCTTCAGGAATCAGCCAGCAAGAAGCAAGCAGAGTTCACTGTTCTCCAAGACAGTTTTTGCCTGGTCAGGAGTGTCAGTGATTGATTTGACAGAAGACAAGAATGCTTCTTTCTGCTACAGGGTATAAATGATTGTGAGAGATTTTAGCCTTGAGTCAGAAAATCATTCAATCACTTACTTAACTGGTTTTCCTATGCAGAGAAGCTTTCTCAACAGTGGCCTGGTCCAGACATAGCAAATAAAAAGGCATTAAGTTTATGCTGATTATAAGGATTTGTATTTTCAAACGTGACAGTTGGAAGTCTCACCCAGTGTTGCTCTTCCAGGATCATTTGTTAAAATGAACCGTGACAAATTGTTAAGTGTGGAGCAGAAACAGATGATGTGGGTTTCTGTAAAAACACTACTGAGAATATTTTAGTTTATACTTAAAGACATTTATCACTATTTTTACATGCACAAAGATAAAGTAAGCAATCAAATTAAATTGCAACAAGTTGTCATCAGAGACAACTTTTTAACCAAACAGAAATAATCTTCACTGAATCATTTTAACTTGCTTAATTCGGTCTCCATTATGCTTTACTAATGTTACAAAATGTGAAATTAATGTTTTGAAATGGTAGGCCTTAAGATAGCGGTTAATTATAACAGTTACTATTTAAGATTCTACTCATATATTTATTAGGCAACACGGAACACTGTTCATGGAATTAGACCTTGAAATGCAGTAATATGAATAGCACATACTATCTTTATTGCTATAAAAGGCATCAAAATTGCAGTAAAGACTTTGTTATGCAAGATTTGAACATAACTGAGGGGAGCAGAGGGAGAAGGTATGGTGCTGCACCTTGCATATTGACCCTATAATCCACATTCCAACAGAAAGTGCGCAAAAATACCACATCCCCCTCAGCAACTAAACTGCACCTTCTCACGTGTCACAGGTAAACAAGAGTCCCTAGTTAATCTGGACACTGGAGTTAAATTTAAAAACTGAGATTAGAGTTTTTAGCCTACTTGCTTATTCCACCCAGTCCCTTGGTGGCTCCCTGTCCCCAGCGTTGGGTTTGCTGTGCCCCGACCTCCTTCCGCAGCAGGGAGGTTGCTGCTGGCCTGGGAAGCTGGGGCAGAAAGCTGTGCCAGTTCGTGCTGGGAGGCTGCTGGCAGTTACCCATCTCAGGCAGGGGATGCCCAGGGACCCCTTCCTTTTGGCACCACCTCATCTTTGCAGAGCCCCAGCCCCGCTGGGTTTTTGCCACGTAAATAGCCCCCGTGAAGTGTAGAAGCAGAAGCGGGCACCATCCTCATCGCCAGTTCTGCCTCACGTCTTGGCATTCGCTGGAGGATTCAGGACCTGCTGCCTGCGTTTAGCCCGAGTCTTAGCAAACCTTACAGCCAGCCTGTACCAGCTAGAGAGCAGCTTGTGACCCAGAGAACAGAACTGTAGCCATTTGCCCCACAAAAACGTACACAAAATAATCAGCAGCCTGCTAGCATTCACAGGTTAAGCTATTTTTTTCACCTGCCATATATGGCCAAATTTAATAAACCAGTCTGCATTTGTAATGAAGATCCTCACGTTCTGAGTAAACTTCAGTAACTGTAACGCAGCCTGCACACAGTTGCTAAGATGTGATTTGCGGTGTCAATTTTAAAAACCTTTTGTCTCTGTGCATAGCCTGACACAGATATGATTTGTTTTTAAAAACAGTACAAATTGTTGCTTGTCTAGCACAGTCAAATAACTAGTAACTGACATTCTTGAAATTTAAATTAAAGACAATAAAAATGGAATAGAAATGACATTCAGTTACTCCTAGCAAATGCTTCTGAACTCTGATATTCCTTAATTTAAATGGGGTGCAGGCTGCCAGATCAGGTCTTTGTCATTCTAGTTCTAAAAATAGGAGTGGGAAAGGCGAAGCAGAAGCAGGAACAAATTTTCCTTGCTCTTGAGGAGAAGTGGGAACAAATGCAAGTGAATTTCAAAGCGCCTTGCTATTCAGCTGTCCTATGATTGCATTTCTAATGTAAAATCTTGCTTAGAATTAATTTGATTTGGAGCTCCATTTTACTGACAGATGTGAGCCATTGAAAGATTCCTATTAGCAAAGCTTTTTCTGAATAAAGATAAACCAATTGTTAGAAGTCAAAAATTAAAGAGGAGCTTGTGAGACTGCTAGGAAGGTAGTGCAGCGACATTTGATCCTGACTTTGCAAATCAGTTAATCTTTACCAACTGGTATTATAAGGTCAACAGTGAACGCTTAACTGCGTGCTTTAACACATTTCTCAAAATCAGCCACTGTTTTTATGCATC